GTTAATCTTTCCCAAGTGATTGTTTTCAGTATGAAAATGTGTGGTGATAATTCATGTGAAAGGGAAATAAAATCAATTTTCGAATAACTGCTATTTGTGTAAAATAATGCTTTTATTTTTGGGGCGATGCATTCAATATTCGATTTGCGGTATTGATATTGATAGCGCTTTTTTTCGAGAACTTGCGTGATTAAGGGAAATGTTTTTGGCGATGTCATTTAATCATGCATAATTAAGTTACTGAAATTAAGAGGTATTGGATTTAAATGTCTCACATGCCTGGAGATTTATGACGGATTTGTGGTGGTGCATTTTAGGCCCCTTTATTAGTGTATTTCAAAATATTTTGTTAGCGGAAAAAAATGTAGGAAATATCCATTCACTCTTATCTGGGTAACGCACAATAGGCAGAGTAAACAGGATTTCCATCAACTTGAAAATACACCTCGAAAATCCACTGTTTTCCGTGCGATACTTTTTGGGGAGAATCACGCACTGAAATACAGGAAGTGTTGATGGGCGATTGTCGGGCTGAAAACATTGGCGACAAAAAGGGTTGTGGAATGAAAAATTTTCAATCCCAGCACTTTGGCAGCGTGATTTTGGCTTGAGAGTGGAAATGAATAAAATGGGCAAAAATGCAGGACAACACATCAAATAGCGCGGAAATATTCGGCCTCTCTGTCATGTGGAATGGATTGAAAATGCGCTCCATCTTCAGGGTGGGAAATATTGCCCACGGCTTTCCCGTTTGTCCAACTGAACGTGGGGGTTACATGGGAAAATGGGGAAGCCGATTGGGCGCACTTGAGAAAAGCGGGTGTAAATGCACTTTGCGCGCCTTTTCTAGCCTCACTTTTAATGCCTACACGTGAGCTTTCGAGCGATGTGGAATGGGGGGTCACGATGTGGAAAATGCTGTGAGCCCGAGCGACTGTCATGGGTGGCCAGAAGCCGACCCGAAGGCGCCTTCGTGGCCGCCCGACTGTGGAATCTAATCACATTTCGCACAAGAGAACGCAAATAGTGTACAAGTGGGGGGACGTTTGCAAAAAGATTTTTTCGCAAGGAAAAACAGCCTCATTTTCCACACGCTTTTCCCACTCTCTGTCGCAGAGTGAGTCCCAAGCATCGCCCCGGGGGGTGAATAGTGACGCGAAATAGGTCGTGAGGAGCTGATGTGCCAAAAGAAGTGATTTTCGGGGAGATTTGCTGTGACCACCACGTACATGCATGCCACTGGCCTAGACTCACACATGCGAAAGCTTCCCAAAAGTAAGTTGGCGATGGCAAATATATTTTCGCAAGAGGTGAGTTTCTCGGCGCGATTTTCGTGACTTTTCCACCCAAATTCACCCAGCGCCCAAGCTGTGTGGGCGGCATGTGTGAATGACCGCTGATTAGTGCTGAGTGGCGACCTTGTGAGCCGCCGCCAACAGTCCACTCTTGGTCGCCAAGTGGGCCCCTCGTCGGCCCATTAGCGCTCCGCGCTGGCAACCCCACCCTGACCCTACGGCCCGCATCCGGGAAGACTCCCCACGCACACCACGCCGGCTCCACACCTGTGTGAGAAAATTCCACTGTGGCAATTTCGCGATAGCAGGTAAATGACGTCGACGGCCCTAAGTGTCCACGTGACAGTTGCCGCCTCAGCGGCCGCACGAAGGGCAACTCCGCGGGGCTTTTGCATCATCATTTTCGACTGCGGATCGGCTGGCCAAGTTGTGTCCAGATAATGCGCACGTCTTCTGATTGGGGCGCGATTGAAATTCAGCCACTTCTAAACTCTTCACACTGGCGAGTGTCAGATTTCATTCTGCGAGGCGAGCATGCAGAAATTTCACAGTTTAGTACATTGAAATGTTATCTACAATCTCACTTCGCACTCCGATGCCTTCTGGTTCTGGCCCCTGATCTCTGTTGGCACAGGTGGAGAGCTTTGGAGAAGAGAATCTCGCAAAATTTTGACTATTTGGCATTTGCCACTTTCCACTTCGATAAGTAATTCAGAATGTATTTCTATAAGGCAAAATGAACCGATTATTCCCATTTTTGCAACAATATCAGGTTCGTTTTCGTGCTTCTCAGGAATTTTTATATTCTCAAGACCAAAAATTTTCTCCAACTGTTTTGCAAATTGGCTCTTCTGTGAAGCTTAAACAATTTGTTTTTTGAATAAGAAGCACGAGTTATTCTTGGTTTTCTGCAATTGTTGCATACCTACTTTCAGACGAAGATCATTAAATTTGCACTGCAGAATTGATAATTTAATAGCCTTGGCTGTCTATAAATATTAAATTTACATATTAGAACGCTCCTAGGGCACTTCTGTGCGACTGGAAAGGTCATGCGAATTAGCCGAACATCCAACGCCAGTATGCAAATGTATAGGATGTTTCGGTTACGTATAATTTTTGCCAAAATATTCAAATTGACAAAAAGTGTGTGGTGGTGTTGGTTAAAAACGGGGCCCCATATATTGTGCAAACATTTCGTATTTGAAGACATGTTCAAGGTCTTGCAAAATTTTTTATTTGCTCTCTGTGACCTAAAAGGCGGCCCATAAGTTTATTTTTAGACGCGACTTGGAGTGTAGTTAAAACCCTCCAAAAGTAATTTGAATAGCGCAGCTTTGGCTTCGCGACTGCCAAAGTGAACAGCGGCGCGAAAGAGACATTCACTTGAGATCGCTGAATTTGAGAGTTCTAGGCCAATCAATGCAATGCAAATGCATCGCAAAATCTCAGCTTTCCCTCGGCTGTGGAAAATTTGGCAAAATTCGAGCAAATTTGCCAAGACAGGTTTCGAAATTGCCAACTAATTTATTCTTATACGCCGTTCGAGATATCACACAGGTGGATCACGAGAGTGAGCAAGAAGGATTAATACAGAGAAGAATTGGAATAATATTCTGACCACTGCTTGGAAAGGCAGTGAGCAGTTGAGTTTAGTGGGCAAGATCTGTTCAACGAGTCTCCTGACTGTCCAGCGGATCGAGGGTGGTGATCACTCAATGCGCCGCTCGACTCGTGCCGCAAGATAATGAGCTGTGATTGACTCCAAAGTGGCGTAACCTAAAATAATTAGTCGATGAATAATGGGCGGAGGCAGGAAGAGGCGATGTGAGGGGGGTTTGAGGAGAGGGACTCGCTTAAGAATAACAGCAAGAAGCAACGGCCACTGTCAAATGATGTCGAGATTTATTTCCATGGAGGCGGTTTTTGAGTACAAGTCGTAAATGGTGAAAATGCCTGGATGCAACAAGTTGCTTTAGTGATTGAAAATAAAATAGATGAGAATGTTACTCCTCCGAAGAGTGTCCGGTATGGTGAGTTCCGTGGCGGAAGATCAGGGCAGGTATGGAGATTCACGGCTTGCAGATGAAATCTCGCGTTTCTTGCAACGGTAACGGAACGGAGTGGAAGAACAGTTAAATTGAAAAGGCGCGCGCCAAGCATCGTTCTTAGTCCCATACATACCCAAAGTGGATGATGGCCGAGAGATTGGTAATTTGTCTCTTGAGCGGGTTCTCTTGGCCGAGGGGCCCTGCTCCGGAGACGCGGAGTCGTAAAGTTGGGAGAGAGATCTCCTGGGATACGTGCGCATAAAGGGGGGCCCACAGCATAATAATGTGTGGCGATCCCACTAATGGACTGCGCTCTGGGGAGAAAAGAGAAAGAGAGGAAATTTTTCAGAGGATAGACATTTTTGTCCAAACTTGTTTCGCACAAAACACAGTTGGTCATAGCCTCGAGCGATCGCAAGTTGATCTTCTCTCCCATTCAATATACTATCTTTATTATTGTAATTGTGTGCGGGAAATTCACCGTCAAGTTTTCCACTCTTCATCAGCTCTCAATCATTTGGGCCACTTTCCGAAAATGCTGGGCTTTCTACCTCATTAGCATGATCATGATCCTTCAACCGGTGCGATCATGATCACAGCTAGAGATCCAATTAAAGTCATGCGATGGCTGATGTATGCAAATGACCGCAAATCTCTTCCTGATCATCGCTAGTGAATAGCAATAAAATTCTGTGGAGTCACACGTCCTTAGATCGCCCTCCTCTGTATTTTACTTCTCGCTTGACTTTGAGCAAAAAACGTTCTCCAAACAATCGTAACAATAATATAGATGACTTGTCGATCGACTCAATGGTGATCAGCACATGTGTGCCTGTGTGATGCAAGGGGCAGACATTGAGATCGGAGGCAGTGTACAGTTGTAATAGGAACTGTGGGGGATTTTTAATCGAAGCGTTGTGATAAAATTCTCCGTATTTTTGTCCGGAAAGTAGAATATATTTTCAATCATGCGTGATGTAAATTGGGCGTACAGTTGAGAAGCTAATGTATTCCCCATGGCTTTGTAATACAGTAAGCGAAAAGGCGATCGTGTAGCATACAAATAGCCGTAATGCCTCAACATAACTGATAATGGTTGGATCGATAGTGGAATCGAATTAGATAAAAACCTACGTGCTTCCAATTGGTGGGCTCGAGCGTCGCATCAAAGTCAACGAAGGCGACCGCAAAAGGGAAGGCAAGGAGAGAGAAAACTCTAGATCGCGATCGCGGTGTGGCGAAAAGAAGGAAAAAATGGCCAAAATTTTGTCGATTGCTCAATGGATCGCAGAATTTATTGCATGAAATTATATTTCGCAACACACACTAAGGTCTGAGCATGGGCAAGTGTGGTGGTTGGCGCGATCGCTGATCATGATCGCGAAGTTCTCCGCGAATGCGGTGTAGCTGTGTTTTCGCGAATTCGTGACACATGTGTGTTGGTCGCAAGTGAGATGGCGAAGATCTCTGAGGGTCTGAGCATTAGGCCGAGATCACATGTACGGCGATCGCGATTCTGACGGTGTGCGCGAATGTGTGCAAATTGGCAAGTGTGTGCTTGCGCTAAACACGTATGCGAATATTATTTTGGAAGTCTGTCGTCTCAATTCTGCGTTGAGTCAATTGAGTCTATCGCGAACCACCATTCACTTGACTTGTGCCTTGTAGGACGTTTGGGACAGAAAATCCCAATTGTAGTGTGGAAATGTTTCGTTCGTGTAACTCTAGTTACATCTATAGATACTGTAGATTGTAGAATCGCATTTGGAGCTGTGCCTCGTTTTCGCGAAACCTTTTTTCTCCGTATTTTTTTTTTATCTCTTCCCATATGCAATTAATCTTATTTACACTTTTGTTGATCTGTGTGGCGAGAGAACAATTACTCGAGAGTTAATCGCTGGTGTCTCCTAGGCCGCCTGAAGTACACGCCAAGAAGTGGCCCCCTGTCTTTCATCTGGAAAATTTTCAATTAGCAAGAGAGACAGTCGCTGGGGAGGCGAAGAGTGAAAGAGTGAGATAGGGAACTGGTGGAGTAGTTGGCAAAAATTGAATGTGATCTGTGACGATGATGTAAGGAGGATCGCACGAAAATTGTGCGACCACACTCAACATTCAGCTTAAATTGATCAATTTTGAGGCAAAGTGATCGTACATTTTATAAGGAGGAGTGACGTGATCGTGTGCAATACAAGCTCCCAGCGAATTTTGAGGGCGTCTCAATCATTTGCAAAATTGCCAAATTCCGTGTCCAACTGTGTGAGTATATGTTTATACTGTGGTCACACTTGATCATCATCTAACTTGCTTGTTTTCCGCTCAAGTGTGTGTGTTTGGATTTTTTTCATTCGCACTCACTCTGGCTTTTTCGGCTATTTTCAATTTTTCGCCCATGATCGCGTGTGCGTGATAATGCCTTTGAGAGAGAGAGAGAGAGAGCGTGTTGGTGTGTGTGTGTGGCGCGTTTGTCCACAAAACCGCTGGCTACACGTTACATAGAATCGCGATCGAGTGCGATCGAGGAGGGAAGCGCGATTACCGCAGCGATCGCCAATATGGGCTCGAGGAGGGATTTTTGCAAATGTGGTAATTGAGTCGCGATTGTATACAGGAATTTTTATCATCCTCCAATCGTGGTGGCACACAATAAAATTTATAGGTACAGCACTCATAGTCAATGTTATACATATTGAAGGTGGGTCTAATAACGGGTTTCGATCGGGCTTTGAAGACTTTTGTCCGTGTGGTTTTGCGCTGGCAAATTTCAATAATATATTACATGGCAAACCACATACACTCTAACGCGTGCTGGGTGCGATTGTGTGCAAGGGATAAAATGTGTGGTGGCATTTTGCGCGGAGAAGTGAAGAAAAAATCGCTGAAAAGATCAGCAGAAGCGAGGGAATAAAAATAAAATTTGTCTCTTGAGGAATGAATATTCTGTTCCCAAAAACCTGATGTGATCGCATCAAATCCCAATGATGGAGGGTTGCTCGGCGATGGAGTGAAAGGAATTCGGGCACAAAGCGATCACGCATTTGCTAAAAGACCATCGTGAATTGCGATTATTTATTGGATGTGGGTGTGAAGCGTCTTGAGACGGTGAAGAGATGGCTGAAGAAATAAAGGAGAAGTCAAATGGGGAGAGCAAAAAAAGAGATGACGATTGTAAGGTACAAGTACAGAAAATGCTCAGAGTGTATATTTTTATGGGAAGCAGAGAGACAGATCGCTCTGTATGATAGTATTTGACGGAGAATGTGTGAGAGCGCGCGACTCACCTTTTCAGGGTCAAATTATTAAAAGCACAAATTGGAAATTTTTGGACTATTTGTGAAAAAGGTATATTAGATTAGTGGGAAGTTAAGATGGTGTCTGCCAGTCGATAGATGAATATAAAGACGACATACGTACGGTGTTTTTTTTTTTTTGCTTCTCTCAAGAGAAGAAGATCGTTTGATACTTAAGGAATGAAACCGGTTACCCTAGGCTTGCGCTATTTCTGTATGTTATTTAATATTTTGCAGTTCCTGTTTGTTTTCTCTCAATTCTTTTCTCCATGGCTCTCCTCTCTTGTGTGATCTTCAATTGCCCACCTTTTCTCCAACCCCAGATCGCGGCACTGCGCGCACATCGTGAATCCGTTAAGCTAAGCAAAATAAACAGGATAAGTTTGTGCATGCATGCAAGATCGGGAGGGCAAAGGGTGGAGAAGGTGACTGATCAACTGTACAAATTAAAATCATGTTTCATGATATTTCACGCAATCACCGGGAAATATTTCTCATATAATAAAAACCCATTAAGAAAGCGTGTAGCAGAAGGTGAATCATAGCGCGGCAAGTGTCTCTCTGCCATGGAGAATGAGACTGAGACTTTTGTGAGAAAATGCGCAAACTTGAAGATTGGATGACTTTGAGTGCTGATGTGATCGTTGTTCTACACAGTGGAACTGTACTGCGTCCAAGGCACAAACCTTTATAGACCGCCTTTATGGGCGCTCGAACTCGTTCTTTTTGCGTCTCTTTCGGGAAGCTGCAGATCAAGATTGCTCTGCTCCTCTATAGACGCTTCTGTGCATTTCGCCACCATTTAATAGGGGATCGAAGACGTGTCTAATGCTAAGGTATTATAGGTCACGATAGGTCAATCACTTTTGCGGATTATTTGGTCATTTGCAAGCACTTTACACGAGTGAGATAAGACTAGATCCGTCTAGTCTATTTCTGGAGATACTCTAATGGATCGGGTGTGAATAAATCAACAATCACAAGACTGCTCATGTCAGAACCTACGTCCTATATCACACATCTCGATTCATGTTGAGCCCAAATCCATAAAAGCTGCGCGATGTCGCGGGCATGTGTGCGTTGATCCTTTCACGTGAGCACTTCTTATGCTCATTTGTATGTTGATTGAGTGTAAAAGCGAGTGAGAGAAGCGTTCCGAAGAGCATTATAATATCTGATCTGAATTCATCTGAAAAGGTCAAACCATATTAGTCCATTTAGCAAAAATCTATTGCGATTGCTCATCTGTATCTCTCGAGTGTGATTTATTCAATTTGCACGGGCTGAGAAGAGATTTAGCATATTTTTTTGAATCTCTTGACGCACGCTTTCTTTTTCCACAACCTCCCAAAATCATTTTAGCGCGCGAATTTGGCGATTGGGAAAATGTTAGCATATCGGTTTGGGACCTTTTGTATTTCATTAAAAAAAATAAAAACGAAGAAGTTGCATATTTAAATTGAGTGAACTTTGGGTGATTTATGCAAATGTTTTTTTCCGTAACATTGGCCTCTCTCATCTTCATCTTCTTTGCACCTCTTCCTCCGCGATACACCTATGATCAGGTGCCATGAGCGGTAGGATTTCATGCAGTTTTACATTTTGTAAAATATCTCTTGGAATATTGGAGTGCGATTAAAATCGATTGACTTGTTTTATGCATATTAGTTGGCTATTTGGAATGGGATTTTTGGACACTGTGCGATGTGGTGTGTGAGAGACTTTTTCCTCACGGTGGGCAACTTTCAAAAAAAGCGCCGCGCACCCAAGAAATTTTTGCAAATGCACGAATCTCAATTTAGTGACGGCCTTTTTGCCTTCCATCTCGCGAAAAATCTCTCTCACTCCCGAGTGCCTTTTGCCTGTGTTTGCGGTGAACTTTGGAGAAATCCGTGTACTATTAGGTATTTTTAGACACCACCACACACGCACGGCGAGGGACCATTTTGGCCAATATATATTTCACGCACATGTATTATGTGCAATTTTCGCGAAATAGATATCGACACGGAGAAGACCATCTTGGCGGCTTCCAATTTAATTTTGGGCGTCCCAAGACGCTGCGCTGTGTGAGTTGGCGAGAGAGGAAATCGCGGGACCCGCGGAGGGAGTCATGTGAGGGTCCGCGGGGGCCTTTTGACATTGTGCTGTAAATGGAAGAACGTCTTGTTAGGCGAATTGTGCGCATGGTGAATGAGCTTGAGGCCATTTGCAGGGTGAGCCAGCAGAAGTGCCACTGCCTGTGCAAAACCTCTCAGATTTTATTAATATTGCAGTAAATTGAAACACTGTTTGTCACTACATTCCTTCACTCTGGTCGACAAATATGGAATGAAGCGTTTTAATGATCAACTGAAGATTTTACTATTGATTGCAGGGCAACCATTAAAATGCTCAATGATTAGAGATTCACCAATTATACAGGGACTTAGGAATATCTTAAACCACGGCTTTAATTGGAACCAATGTTCTGAAAAGCTTATGGAAATGATTTCTACTTGAAGGCAATTATATTGCGAAGACACTTGACATAAAGCGTTCGAAACCGAAAGATATCATTAAGTATAAAAACCCACATTCAGTCGCTCCACCCTGTATTTATCTCATTTTGGGCCAAATGATGATGAAGGAGTTTCTGAGACTTCGCCAAAGACCACCGTAGAGACTTTTTCCCAACGCTCTGCTCCATGTGCGAGCAAAAAGACTGTTGCGCCGAATTGAAATAGTCAATGAAGGTGAAAGAGGGAGAAAATTGAGATGCGAAAATGACTGGGTGTGCGCGCAAAAAGTGATCTACAAAAGTACCACAATAGTAATTACTTTGTAAGGTCTAAAAATAAAATGGCACAACTTGTGATTTTTGGTATTTAAATAATAAATTTCCGTTGCCAGTGTGTGCCGAGTGTGAGCAATAAAAGTCATTTTTTAATACTCCCTGTGACGGTGGACAGAAAGAAATGAACTCTTTCTCTTCCACTTGCTTTTAATGGGCCTCGTGAGTCAACTGGAAGGACTGATGTGTAAATGTTTGCACGATGTATGAAGCAAAATCGCACTATTTCGGTAATTTTTCCACATTTTTTTGGGTCTCTATTAATTGTATATAAAAAGTGAAAATATCTAAGATTATATTGTGTTGTATGGTGGTTTTTTTCGGCAACTTCATTATACTCTCTTTTACGTTTCTACCGTTCAATGTACGGCTCAATTAAAATTTATTACGATTCATGGGTGTAGTAATGCCGATTGTTAAATTATATTGCTTATTGCCATTTTCTTCCCGTGTCTCTCACTCTCTGGCCCGCGAAGATTGGGTGAAGGGAGAGAAACTGTGCTGGCGCACATTTGGTGAAAAAGGCGCGGATTTTGGTCAACTTGTGTGGGCGATGAATTGGACGCCATGTAAGCATGAGAAGATGCCAAAGCCCCTCAAAAATTCCACTCGTCCATGCCAATACTGCGCCTTCGAGTCTTTTAGGGCCACTTTTGCAAACATGTGGCAACAATCGGTCGTTCTTCATCGCCTCTGCGCTCGTATCTCAAAGTGTAATTTTATCTCCATAAATTTGAATGGCAAGATAGTAACGATTCTCAAATACTGATAAAAAGATCTGGCGAAATGGGAGAATTACAAATCGTGTCATGTGCAAAATTTACAGCTACACTCGCACACACTTTATCAACAGTGCTTTCAGGTCTCGGAGCTTCAGGCAGGGTTCAGAAGATGGGCTTAAGGGTTCCAAGTGTTATGTGTGCTACTCTTTGCCTCGGCCAATGATAAAGGCTAATAAACTGAGCCTCTGCATAAGACGCCTGCAAATTACATAATGTATAATTGTAAGGGTAACAATGAGATCGTAAGATTGCACCTTTGCACTAATAACCCATGAAATCCTAATTTATTGTCTCCCACACGTTACGATGGTGACCACAAGAATATAATAATATAATAATAATGCCTCACATGCCGAGTTACAATCATTTCAGGGGCTTCTGTGCAATTTTTCAGCAATCTAAAGTATACTTCGAGCCGAAACGCTTTGGCAGGACGACTTTCGCGTAAAAGTTTATAGTTTTCTTTTATTGTTCCCATATTTTCTCTTACATGCCTGTGAGCAATGGTTGAGGATAACGTGAAATATTGTTTTGGGGTGATAAATTGCACTTTTGCTCCTATATACAATCCAGACCGAGTGAATTTCGAGGGTGTATAGATAATTCAGAGTGTGTTGATGTAGGGATATGGAAGAGAACGAAGCTAAATTGGTGATATTTAGAGTGGAATTTAAATTTCATCGCGCCAAGGTTGGGCTTGGGTTTTTGAGATTCCTTCTTAGAAGAGCTGCACAATTCCAGTGAGCAAGTGGAGTGAATTCTCCAAGCCCTACTCGTGGTAACCCTGTCACCACGGCGTGAAGCGAAGCTTCGAATTCTATCTGTTAAAGGATGAGACAATGGTGTAGAAATGTGCGTGGGAGAGGCAATAAAGGAAGCCACGATGATCTCGTTGGGTTAGACTGCCCTGAATAAATTCCCCGAGTGCGAGAGCAACACATGAGCAGGGCGTCTCAGTGTTGGGCTCAACCACTCGCGCACGAGATTGTTTACTTATGAGGCAGAACGCGGCGCAAGATAGGACAAACATACACCAGTGTCGACCCGCTAATTTTATTTAATTCACGTACTGTTCGGCATCGTCGAGAATACACAATATCGCGCGAATTCCATGTTGAGCGGCGAAATTCTGCGTGTTAGTTTGGGGAGTTCTCATTCCTACAATGTGCCACGTTTAGCGCGCATGTGTGTCCAACATAATATTTCTTTTTTCGTACGCCGAGGCGTTCGCGCATTTTATTCCACAAACACACCGCATTTGCATTAAAAGATATTTTGTATGGCGAAAATGAGCTGGAGAGCACCAAATGCCAACTAATCCCTCGATGGCCAGCGGCGCGGGGCACGGCGACGGGGGGTGTCCAGGGATGTCAGGGTGATGTGTCTCATGTCTCATGCAGATCGTGAGATCAACACAGTCAAAGCTCTTGGGCCGCTCGGGCAGTATATGCAGTGGAATCTGTAGTGGTGACTATTTGATGAATGCTGTAAACTAACAATACTGTCCTAAATTCGCAAACAGTACATCTAAACTAGACTGCTGACCTTCAAGTTGCTGATTTTTTTCGCTAATTTTAAAAGCAAATTTTTCACAATCCAATGTGGATGTGTATCTGAATTGAATCATGTATGATGTGTCTTGGGATGGAACTTTGCGAGACGCTGGTAGTCCTCAGATCTCGCCTTTTTGCCGCGCTTCTTTAAGTGCTTTCATTCAGAAATATGCATGACGCTCACCATCCTCGACAGTATTGGTCAAATACACGCGGGAATTGTGTTCTCAATTACGCATTGAATTTTATCATAGTTACTAGGAAATGAAGAACAGTTCACGATAGGCTTCTGGGAAGATTGTGTTTTGATCTTATTCTCCTGAATCAGGAGACTGAAATCAGTGATCTTCGCCCAGAATGTGCAGAGAATTTCAGAGACACTTACTTCATTCATCCAACACTGTGTGTGTGCGTGGATTTTATTTCCTAGGAAAAAAACCAAAGAAGGTGAAGTAAAAAGACTGCAAATTTGGGCTCTCTTACTTTTTTTTGTCCATTCAACCTGGCAAATGCTAAAAAGTCTCTTTTACACTGTTGGATAGTGTTAATGAAGGTTTTTTTGCTCGTCGTGTGTGTTCCACCGTCGCGAATAGCAAAAAGACAGATATGACGGAGAGTGTTGCAAAATTTTTAGAATAAATTTACTTCTAGATGCTCGTTTTGCCACGCCGTGTAACCAAAGGTTTTTGCAATGTTGGACAGGCTGGCGAAAATGAAGAAAAAAAATCATAGTCTCTCTACCTTGATAGAGGCGCACACGGTGTGTGCAAAACTTTCCATTATGCCATTATAGCTTTTTGCCAAAATGGCCCAGTGATATTCATGAAAAGTTTTGCACTTTCAATGCCAAACTAATAATTTTCTTGCCGTCTCTCGCGCAGATACACCACTGACCAAGGCAATATGGACCAGCAGTTCTGTCTTCGCTGGAATAATCATCCGACCAACTTGACTGGCGTGCTGACTTCCCTTCTCCAGAGGGAGGCCCTCTGTGACGTCACACTGGCATGCGACGGTGGTGAAATTGTCAAGGTACGCGCGGATCACGCTCAAGTGGAGTGTCGCCGGGAAGAGAAGGAGAGAGAGTGTGAGAGAGAGAGAGACAGTGTCCCATGAGAGGCGATTTTTGTCGCCAACGGTTAATTTAATTACTATTAGTATCAAAAAATTGCCTTAATAGACGAAAAGACACACGATATTGACGTCAATCGATATGTGGAGCTAGAAACCTTGGGCTCAGAGCGCGTTAAGAGATTTGAGAAACTCGCTTTTTGCCTCTCGTTCTCCACCTGTAACCTCACGGGACTGTTCTCTCTTTCTGTGTCTCTCTCTTGTGCGGACTCGCATCTTGGCGTGCAAATAATGCTCGTCCTCCTTTCCGTAGGCACACCAGACCATCCTGTCGGCATGCAGTCCGTACTTTGAAAGCATTTTCCTGCAGAACTCTCATCCGCATCCGATAATATACTTGAAAGATGTTAGATACTCAGAGATGCGCTCACTTCTTGACTTCATGTACAAGGGTGAGGTGAACGTTGGCCAAAGATCGTTACCGACATTTCTAAAGACAGCCGAAAGTTTACAGGTATTATTGATTGCCTGCCGTATAATTTTTGCCATATAATTCTCAAGCTGCGCACTGTGAATGATTCTCACAATTACATCTCAGCGGTGGAGATGCTGGCAATTAAAGCAGTATATAGTTGAAATTGGTGGAGAAATTATGGGATATTAGCGTCAGAAGCTTGCCTCTTTTTTCAAAATTCCAACCTTTCCACAATATATATTAAAATTTCAGAATTCGCTGCCTAATTTCCTGCATGCCTCAATTAGCATATCAGTTTGGGTGATCTGCCTTGGAAGACTTATGAATTGGCTATTGGCCTTATCTATGTGTATTCTCCCCAATTAATTAAGCAGTACAATTCGACTAATCACTCCACTATTCACCGATAGTTGAGGCAGCAGCGCGCATTTATGAAAGCTAAGACTTCTTTTGCGAGCATTGTCACCGAAATTGATGTGAAAACCGTTGTGATTGCGACATGTTGAGAGAAAATGGCATACATCTTGCGCATAATTAAAAGATGACAGACAGCTGAGCTGCTTAGCGGATTTGTCAATATGTATTATAGCGTAGAGATGTTATCTGTGTTATCTGCTATCCTCAATCTCAGTGCACGACATTAATGCCAATGTATTGATTGGGGGTTGGGATGAAGGTACGCGGTTTGACCGACAACAACAACATCAACTACCGACCTGAGAGCGACAGGGATCGCGATTCCGAGACGAATGCGAGTGGTGCTATGAAACACTATGATAAAACAGAACGGGACAGAGATCGCGACCGGGAGCGGCTGGAGCGCGATCGCGAGGAGAATTCGGAGAGCAAAGACCGCGATAGGGAGACACCTGTGGATCAACTGAGCAGCAGTAGCAGTACCAAGCGGAGACGTAAAAATTCATTAAACTGTGATAATTCAATGCATGGCGCCAGTGTCCAGGAGCGGCATTATTCTCAGGATTCTCAGGTGAGATACATTGTTACATTTCCGCCTCGCGCAATCAAAAGTCAATCAGTGCGATATAACATGGTTTAATGGTGAATTGAGAGCATCATGTGTGTGAAAAACAGAGATGGCAAGAGAGAGAGAGAGAAAGAGAGATTTTGGCCATGAACGAAAATGTCTATTTCATTACAATAATTCATCATTTATTAATTACAATGTAGCGCGCGAAATTCAGCATACGAACCGTTATAACCGTAAATGCAGTTTTCTCCCATTTGATTCCAACATCCACGCGATGAGAAAAATCTCCGCAGCATCCAGTGGTCAGCAATGACGCCAAGGGGAACAAGTTCTGTGCCCAATGGTTGAAAGAATCAATTTTGCACGTTGATTGATGTTGACGCTTCTTTGGGGCCAAAATACCCATATCACAGTATAATTTTTTTGATTCCTTCAGCGTGTCTCTTTTTTGGCCGGCCGATGTATAGAGAAAGTTGCGATTAGGTCAGCTTCTTTTTGCCCTCCTTCGTCCCCAACATGCTCTAAACTGGAGCTTCGCTTCGAGAGCATCTTCATGGTTCATAAAGGAGACGAAAGATTTCAATCGGCAATTTTTTTGTTGTGTCTTTTGTGTGGCGATTCTATCTTTTATTGCTTCACGCCAAAGATTCACTGCTGCCGAAGAGATCTAATGTAATCGATGTGAAATTTATGTGTAGTGTGATAAACATTAAATCTCTTTTACAAGACTTTGCTGCAAAATTTATTCATTTTGCTCTCACGGTAATTTTGCAAATATTGCTGATGTCTTTCTGAAATATTGTGGGTTTACGCAGAGTCGATTAAAAGTTCTCGTTCAGTGTACGAAATTCCAATTGGAGTGAACTTATGCTGCATTGCATTTTGATTCTTTAATCCCTCGTGCGCCTTATCGGGCGTCTTAAGTGCGGCGTAGAGATCTGTTTGGGATATGTAACTAATGTTTTTTTCTCTTAATGGTTTGCAGGCATCGTCGCATAGTAGTTATAAATCCAGTCCATTGCCAAAATTAAATCCTCTGGAAGGAGAAGACACACGCCGAAATTCACCATCGTTGAATGCCAGCGGCGCCAATCAATCAGTTAGCATTAAACAAGAATTACCTGATATGGGCCATCATCCTGGTTTGCCACCAGAATTACTTCCGGTGAGTGATTGCATTTCCCCACAAATCTGCTAACCTCATCACCACATATATGACACATTTTATGTTGAGGCACACACGTGTAGCATAAGGCACCATTAACACCCCATCCTTGTATATTGTTGAGATTCTTTCTTGAGTTTTGTATATATAGGCATTTATTGATTTTTCTTAAGGTTTTTTCTTTGGACCGGTTCGGTGGTTCAATATTTGATTTTCTCTTATTTATTCACTTTGGTTTTTTTTCGTTTATTGTAAAAATTGATTTCATCTTCAAGCGCAAGACGTGATTTGGCAGTTTAATGCTCTAACATAACACATTCTCTTTCTATTGAGCGGCTGTTAAAGGAGCAATGTGGTGACACTATTGTGGGTGTCTTGGAGGAATTTCTCGATGATGGAGAAAGAGAGTGAAAAAAAAATGCGGAAATGCATAATGATGTATGAAGAAGAAGGGACTTCGCCTCCACTTGTTTTGCCGTGGCTCCAACTTGAGTCTTTTGTGGCGCTGACTGGGGAAGAGGGAAAAAAAGAAGAACTTGTAAAAATGCCATGAGTACACACAACACAGTTTTTCCCATCAATTCTTTGGTGAAAACAGAAAAATAAATAAGAAGGATGAAGGATTTAGCTATAAAGTCAGATAAAATTGCGAGATAGAAATAAAATCGCATCTCCGAGAGATAAACACTTGCAAATTTTCCTGACATCTGCGAGAGTGGATGATAGAGAAGTTAACTATGCTCTGGAGATGGTGGAAGAAAAAAGAGAGACGTTTTTTTGTTTGTTGTACGGATCATCGACCGAGAAAAAGAAAAAATCTTTAAAATTGAAAAGAAATGAGGAGAAATTAGAGAATTAGAGAGATGACTTTTGGCGTCTCAGCAACTTAAGTCCTTCCCTTCTTGATTTATTTTGACAGAAAACTGTGGGGTGGCTCCATAGGCAGGGTACAATTCCACAACACACACAACAACCTCACATACCTCCACTTGTTGGTTTTCCGCACCAACAGCAGCAACAGCATTCCCAACGCGACTCACCCGGCCAGTCCAGGGCTCCCTGGCCGCCGACCTCTGACCCATCCACTGTCAATAGCACGCTGCAAATGTACCTGCTCACGCAGCAGGGCTGCAGCTCGGCGCAGGAGAGTGCCGCCAGTCTCCGGCAGATCGTAGCGCGCTTCCCGGATGCACCGGAGCCTGCGAGGCGCTCCGCCAGTCCCCATCGCCAGAGTGTCACAAGTCGCAAGGGCGGTCGCTTCCGGCCCAATTGGCTCGACCAATTCAGCTGGCTGCAGTTCGATGAGCAGAATAACAGCATGTTCTGCACATTCTGCCGGAAGTGGTGCAACGACATCCCTGATATCCGCACCTCCTTCGTCGAGGGCAACTCCAACTTTCGCCTCGAGATTGTCAACCACCACGACAAGTGCAAGGCCCATCGGATGTGCCGCGAGCGCGAGATTCAGGAGCGCAACAACGGGCGACCGGATGAGGGCGAGGGTGGGAATGGGACCTTCGGCAAGACTTGATCCGCGAACTCCCTTCTTCTTCGTCAGGGCGCGAGGGCTGGAGTCAGTGTGGGAATTGATTGGAATTTGCGATGCTGACTGGTGGATTTGCTATCTGGAGTAAATCCTCAAAGGATTGCTCAAGTATCACTGTAAATTGAAGATTCTGGCGTTAAGCAATCTATTCTACAAATCAGTTTGCTTTATGTGACAGAATCGTTCTAATTCCTCAATATTCATTATTTTCACATTATGGCACATTATTGAGAGAAATATTGCATGTATATGCTTAATCGATTGACGGATAAACTGTACATATATTTTGTGAATGTCGTTTACTTTTTGAGGATTTTGTCTGGATGTACATATTTTATATTGCAAAATAATTTTACATAAGAATCATGTGGAAAAAAAACTCTGTTTGATGCATTGCGAACTCCTTTTTCAACTCTCTTGCCTTCAGATCTTGCTGCGCTCACAGAGAGTGATGAGCTTTCGATAAGGAATCGTTAATTGATTCTGAAATGAAAGAAATGTGTACAATTTTCTTTTCACCCCTTCCGGGAAAGTTTTCCATTCGGTGGAAGGGTGGAAAATTGCAGTGAGTTGAGAAGGAGGAGGAACAAAAAAAAAATGCGCTAAAATCCAATGGTGAAAGAAACTTTGAGGCGTGAAGAGGAGAAATGGGAGAAAAGTTGTGATTGACGAAGTGATTTTTACGCAATTAGAAAGTTATCTGAATTATTTTTGCACTTTCTATTGCAACAATATTTTTGCAGAGATGCAAAAAGGAGCAGAAATGAAAAGCGGGGTGGAAGCCCAGCCCTCGGGAACTATGAACTTTGATGCTTGCGAGAAGAGAGAAAGAGTATATAAGGGTATCCGTTGCCTATTGTTGTGTATATTTATAGTGATGGCGTCACTGTATCATTTGTACAAGAAATGTTTCACAGAGAATTGCAATGAATTTTCAATTCAATAGATTTGAGACTCTATGTAAAGAAAGTGTTTTCATTGTATTGCTGACGGGGCAAGGTTTCTGGGCGATACACCCCAATATTGCTTGCTCGTTTGAGCGCCTCTTGTTGACCAGGAAATTGATGGGAAGTTTAATGTTTGTCCGGCCTTCTTTGCAGCCCACTTCAATGTCCCTGCATCCTGAGGATATGACAAGTCTACTTCCTGCTCATGGACTTCAAGTGGAGTCGTCGGAGAATGACTCACAGCATCCGCCGATGGATCACAGTGATAATATCGATGGTGAGTGTTCCATAGTTCTGTAGTCTCTCACTTTTCTCTATACCTACTCATTAATTATTCTTAAGTAAGAAGAGAAAAAAAAATTTATAAGGAGATGAAAAAAAGACTAACTATCCAATTGAGAGTCCCCATTTTTTCCACTGGTTTGATATATATATATATATATATAGAAAACAAAAAAGGTAGTCCAAGAGAGAAGAAGAGTTTCTTTTGATGAGCAAGAAAAACAGAAGAAAAATGGGAAATTTGCTTTATGTTGTTCCAAACTCGCAACTCAAATATTTCCTATACGTTTTTTTTACGTGTAAATTTTCTTGAGGAGATTTATTTATTTTATCTTTAATTTCTGTTTCCACAAAAGTCTTTCCGTACGAGCTTAATAGTTTATTGAGGTTTTTCTTGTGTTACTTTTTCGAATGTTTCTTTTTTTCTCTCTCTCTCTCTCTCTAAATTAATTTGATGTTTTACAACAAAGGAGTATAACTTTTGCTTCCCTAAATTTTTTGTCGTGACTCTTCCTACTCCTTTTAGGTGGAAAAATAAGTCCACAAAAGAGAAATTACAAGTTAGAGAATGGAGATAATTGAAAAAAAAAATTAATTAAATCAATCAATACACTTGAGAAAGAATGTTGTTTAGTGAATTCGTGTGGGTGTTTTTAGCTTAGTTCAGTTATCTGTACTGTACAGTTTTGAGATAGATGGTGATGAGGATGGAGATAAGAGAAACAATTTATTTTGTTTCCACTTAGAATACTCACTTTGGAATAACTTGGCACGCAATCAATTGGCTCTCACTTCTTTATTAATATGGTAGACGTGGATAAGAAGTCCATGAAGAAAGGATTTTCGCTTCTCTGTAGATTTATTGCAATTTAATAGGTTTCTTTCTTTCATCTTATTTTGGTTCATTTTATTAATATTTGCCCTAGTGCTCTCTACATTACTGTGGCTTTACTTATTTACCTTTGGAAGGTGCATTTCTTACTCACAGAACATCTATACAGAATACTTTACACACTGTGCACATTTATCATAGCATCATTACATAAATATAATGAGTACTTCGTGTTGTGGAAAAGGTGAGAAATTTGGATTTATCAATGCCAATTTTGCTGTGGAGTCCAACAGAAGAGGATCATACAAATTCTCTAATGGTCGTCCAAAATTGTCGTCTTTTCTATAACTGTGTCTCTGCATGAAGCATGATTCTCTAGTGGGTTTTTTTCTGTACAGCGCCACTTTCTTGTTGGAAAGAAAAAATAAGAAGACCAGAGAGAACATAATTAAATTAGTAGCAAATTGTGTTTTTTTCCCTTTGCCAAAAAAAACTCCATATAATATCTCTGTATACATTTTTCACCTCGAAGACAGTTGGTGTGGGAATTGCCGCAGAATGTGAAGAAAAGCAATTGAAATTGAAAGTTCCTCACATTTCGTTATTCTCACTTTCGTGGCCTGAAAGAATTTTGGCGAAAGAGCTGTAAAAATTTATTTGTGATCAATTGAGCAAACATTTTGAGTGAAATGTCATTTGACTATTTTTCAAATCCAATTGTAACGAAGAAAAGAAATGGATCTTTTCATATTCTATTACACTTACAACCAAAAAAAGAAACGCAATGAGGCTGCAGAATTGATTAATGCAACCGCAAAAAAAACTGATTAAAATTCAACGAATATTGTTGGTTGTGTTTTTTTCCAAGTTGGAAATACAATTTTTTTTTGGCCGAGCACAGACGGCTTATGTGGAATTTATCTAATTATAGAAGCAATAAAATGTAATATGACTTAATTGAAAGTAAATTTGCGCGGGTGAAAAAGTGAGAGAAGAAAAACATCTTTTGTATCGTAGGAACAATTTTGGAGTTTCATCCAAAATTGACACAAAAAAGTTAATAAGACCGCATTGTATCATGCATAGTTTTTAAATGCGCTTTTTCCAAACATATTTTCTTTTCAATACCCAGTTTTTAGTCCTGATTTTCGATCTGAATTAGATGATAGAGTGTGTGAAAAGTACTTTTTTTCATGCGGGGTTGTGAAATATGAGAGAAGAGATGATGTACTCTTATAATTTGACTGTTATCTATTCATATAATTACTGTAGATCGTTGTTTCTGTTGTTGATTTTGTGTTGATACTGCAGTTAGTGATTTTAGATCGTTTATTTTTTTGTAATACAATTTCCTATAGACATTATGAGAAAACATTGCAGAGAGCAATTAGAATAAGAAATCGATTTATCTACTTAGATTCACGTCAAAAGATTATCCATCTGTTATTTTCTGTATATTACTTTATTTTGATACTTGTTTTCTTTTTTTTTGTAATTCGTCTCATTCGCAAAAAAAAACGGGATACACGACATCGCAATGACCAACAAGTAAAATAATACTGCAATGAGAGAAAATTATGACTCCATAGAATTACAATGTAAGTTGGATGATAGATTTCGGGTTTGAAATTCACGAAAATGTCCTTTTGCGATGAAATGCCTAAATGCTGAGATTGGTCATGACGACGTCGCGCCTAACTGTTGAGCCCGATTTCTGTCATCCGCACCAGTGTTCCTGTAGTTGTTGTTAGAAGTTGCGAAGGTGAGATTCACGCAAGGAGAGAGTTGAGAATGTGGGAGAGCGTGGGCGGATCATGAGCATTACCACCCACTTAGAGGATAGGCCGTGAGATAGGCAATATAGAGCGAGAGTGGGTCGGCGCGTGAGTGTGGCCGTAGTGTGAGTGTGAGCGTGGTGAGGCGCGCCGTGACGCCATGTTGCCCTGTATGTTGCAGGTGGGCGCAACATATTGCAGCCGCTGATGGTGGCGTCACGTGGTCACCACAACATCCACCCACCGCCGCCCGCGGGCCCGGCAGCAGGCCAGCAGCGTGCCATGCAGCAGCACAGTCACCTGGCGGAGGGTCAGGCGGAGAATGGGGGCCAATCGGTGGGTGGCGCCGCGGGCCCCGCACCGACGCGTCGTGACCACAACATTGACTACTCCACCCTCTTTGTGCAGCTGTCGGGCACTTTTCCCACCCTGTATCGATGCGTGAGTTGCCACAAGACGGTGTCCAATCGCTGGCACCACGCCAACATCCACCGACCGCAGAGTCACGAGTGTCCCGTGTGCGGACAGAAGTTCACGCGACGGGACAATATGAAGGCTCACTGCAAGATAAAGCACGCAGAGATGAAAGATCGCTTCTTTAGCCACTACGTACACATGTGATCGATCTACTTGTAACATTCACAGTAAATTGTAGCCAGTGTGTCTCTCAATATTATCCAGAGTTAAAATGAAAGTAAAGAAAAAAAATCGAGAAAAATACCAAAAAACATGTAAATGTAGATGCCATAAGTCAACGTAAAAGCCATGTTGTAGAGCCATAAAAGATGTATAGACACTATTTTATCATATTGCTGTGGGGACGGAAGGTATTTGGCGGAGAAGGCGGGGTCGCGCATTGAGAAATGTCTTATTTTCAAGCAATGTGTATTCTTGTGGTTAGGATGTATATCAAACTGACATTGTAGCAGAACCAGCAGAACATTAAAAATTTATTGTTAAAAAATAGTGGTGGGAAAAACTGTGTAGAGGGAAAATTACCATTTCCATGATATTTCAATATCACCAAAATCCGACAACAGTGTGCTTTCCCATTTTGTTTGCGGTGTGAAAGACTTGGTGAGATTGCTGTGTGTGTGTGTTTGAAAGAAAATATTTTAATATTGCAAATGCGGTGGGGAAGAAGGACACAGGACGAGAGTGGCTGTCTGTGCTTGAAACCTAAAGGAAAATTTAATGAGTTACAATAGGGTGGCCCCGGGAAAATAGGCAATTTGACCAATGACGTGGTAATGAGATTACGACTCTCAGTTGCTAATTGGGATGATTCGATCAAAAGCCTTCCATCTCTGGGCTTCCCTGTTGCCAGTGCACAATTCATCTTCAAATTAAAGCCAAAGATAGGATCTGAAAATGTCATTAAACATCGCATTTTCCCCCCAATTTAGCTATCAGTCAAATATTTTTGCCCCACCACCCCCTCGTCACAGTTCAGATGACCTGTTTCGTTTGTTTTTTTTCCTGGGCAGGAGAGAGAAAAAAGAACGTCACGGAATAGTTTGCATGAATATGATTTTTATGCTCCTATACCACTTTTGTACCCTTTTGATTTCCGATCGCATGCTGAAGGAGATTGAGGAATTTTCTTCACTGACATTTTTCAATTGATTTTCGTGATTTCGCTCTGTTTCTTTTCACGAGTCAAATTCCATTTTCGTTTTGATATATAGTAGAATTATTTGCATTGATTATGCAAATTGTGTTGTCTATTTGTCTTACATTTCCAAGGATTGCCCTCTCACGAGCCGAAATTTCACCTAAGGAGATATGATATGTCTCGATTGAATTTTCTGCTGGTTTATCGGACACAATCTTACATGCTGTCTTATCTCATTATTCACCATTCATTTGATCCATTAATTTGGGCAGTGAACATTGTGACAACCATGTACACTCTGATGGAATGGGTTTATAAATTCCAACTGCAAAGACAATGGGAAAATAAAATTATTTAAATGCAAAATACTATAGTGAGTGTTTAATGCGCTTGATGATGATTTTTCAATGAGGCGAATGTTTATTTCAAGCTCTAGTCAATTAGATTTCCAAAAGAAAAAAAACATACACCGAAAGATAAATAAAAGATTTTCCATGTTATTTCTGAAGCGAGGAAAAGTAGCGTGAAAAATTCCTTGTTTTGCAGACGTTTTTGACTTGGTAAAAGATATGAAAGAGAGAAAAATAAAACTCTTTACGTGAGGTATTATATTTTTATATGGAGCTACAGGAAGGTGAAACAAAAACACAATTTTATAATTTCCAAACGATTTACATACATACTTTTGAAAATGAATTCAATAAAAATTTACCACAAACATTCACATTCTGGCTGAGTAGTGTTTTTTCTCGCGCTCTTCTCTTTTTATTACTGTTTTATTTTGTCAAAAGAGAATTATAAAAAAAAGATAATACTCTATAGGCGATTCTGAATAACACCTCGTCAGTGAGCAGGAGAGTAATGGTTTTGGTGCTGGTTGATCACACAATTCTAGGCATTAACTTTATCTCTCGCGAATAGTTTAATCCTTAATTTTCGATGCATTTCTCTGTATATTCCTTTTCTCATGGGTTTTTGTGATTAATTGCTGTATGTTTTTAATCTATTTCTTTACTTCTTAATACCATTTTTAATATTTTTACTTCTGTGTTAATGGAATGAGTTTCTCTATTAATAATAATGATTAGTTGGTATAAACAAAACTAGCAACTTTGAGAAAGAAACTATTCTTAAGAATAACATCACACCTTTGTTGCCATTATACAAAATAGCTGTTGTTGATAGGAAGAAGAGAGGATAAAGTGACTGAGGAGGAGATGAGGAGGAGGATGAGCTTAAGTGACGGAGAAAAATGATGTGAAGAGAAAGGCCATGTAAAAAGTCTCAAGAGAACTAAAAAAAAAAGCATCATGATAGAGCTTAAAGGAATAAAGGAATGATTATACAATGTATTTTGCTGAGATATGATTTTAATATTAATATGTTGGACATAGAAGATGAAAGTATAGTGGATAATACAACTAATTAACTATTAATAATAGTGTATAAAATAATCCTGTGAATACCGTGAGATTTTGATAGATTATTTGCTCACACGTTTCATGAAGTTTAGCAATATTTGTGCACTGCAAAAAATCAATACAGAAATGTCATCCACCGAAGTCGGTTGGATGCTTTTTGCTGCATTAATTTTTTCCGGTGTTTGTCTATTCTTACACCTATTACCATATTATCTAGTCATACATATAATATGATTTTTAATTTTTGACACCACTTCCCTCAATCAGAAAAGAAGCATCAAAATGCCAGCAAAAGAGACTTTTAATCCTCTTTTTGCTCCTGCCCCCCTCACAAAAGCTGAAAACTATAACACAAACTCTTCTCTGTTTTTGCCCAAATTGGTGATCGAAATCTCGCGTATTGTGTGTTGCAGGCTCAAAGGCCTGGCACATGCGGCTGACATTCGAGCGGCTGTCCGGTGGCTGCAACCTGCACCGGTGCAAGCTGTGCGGCAAAGTCGTCACGCACATTAGAAACCACTATCATGTACACTTTCCGGGACGATTTGAGTGTCCACTGTGCCGTGCCACGTACACCAGGAGTGACAATTTGCGCACGCACTGCAAGTTTAAGCATCCCATGTTCAATCCGGACACCAGGAAATTTGAGAACCTCATGGCGGCGGCCGCCGTGAATGCTCTGAGCGCCGCGGCGGCGCAGCAGCAGCTCCAGCAGCAGGCGGCGGCGCAGCTGCAACAGTCCACGGCCACGACGTCCCAAGGCGGAGGCGGAGGCGGTGGCGGAGGCACTGCGACGGACTGATACATTTGCCGGGACGGCGACGGTGCACTACCCTGGAATCTCCACTACCATCATAGCCTCGTGCACCGCATGCGACGTGCCAAGAGTGCCGCCGACGTCTTTGCCGGCGAGGACACAGTTCTGCAGATCAATTGAAGGGCGCTCTGTCGATCTGACCAGGCGTTTCTCGCGCCACGAACGAATGTAGGCCGCGCCACAGCCCCCATAACCAATACCCTCCCATGAGAAATTGTGCTCTTTTGTCATTTCACTCTAGGTTCCTGCACAGAAACAAACTACATACGTTCTGTAAATATGCTAACCTACCCTTCCTAGTGAATACCACATAAATAGAATGAAAGTTACAATAGGAGAGATATTGAGATGTAGATTAAATAGGCGAGCGATCGGCACAGAAGAGCGGGGGTGGCATGATTGATCGGTTTGGATCTGAATGAGAAAAGGGCAACTAGATTACCCAATTTTATATTTTAGAACAAAAAAAATAGGGCATGAGTAAAGAAGCTTATTCATGAATTCTTTGTATACTTCAAAATTATTTTTTTACCTTTTCATTCTTGTGTTATTATTCGCTTTCTGTTTGTATGTTCTTTTTATAGAACTCAGTTTTTCTTTTTTAAATCTTAGTAGTTTGACAACGCTTCAGTCATACCACTCCTGACTTGTCCAACATCTCCTTAAAGGTATCTCGAGGGAGATCCAAGTGTAAAATATTCTCATTTTATAGGTGACAATTTGGTCTAAATGGAGATAAAGTGAGATTCTTCATACACCTTCTGTTGAACACTTTTCTCTAAGACATTTCACAATTTTTCCAATTATATTTTTTGGTAATTTTTTTGCAAATATATTCTGTACCCAAGTCGCACAGAGCATAAAGTATATATATATTTTTGCCAGAATTTCAAGCGATACGTTGATGATTAACATTTCTTTGATAATTCAGAACTCTATTGCAAATAATAATTTATATAACAACTCTTTTTTTATTATATAAAAAAGTGTAACTGTAGAGATGAAGAGTAATTGTTACTATTTTCTATATATTCTAATAATTATACAATTTAAAGAAAAAAAATATTTATATACAAGAAACATTAACTATAGGCATATTCGATCATATTGAGATACAATAGTTGAGGATTTTTTTTTTGAATAATTTTTTTTGTTAAGTAAAAACTCGTCCATTGGGCGATTGCAATAACACGAAACGGGATTTTTTTTTAAAGTAACTAATTTTTTTTGCTAGTTTTTAGTAGATTCACTTTATTTTTTTCATTTTTTGTAAACTAAATGTAATAGACAGTACCTTAAACAATTTTTTCAGCAATTGTAGAACACACATAAATACCTACAGAGAATAACTAAATGCAATATTAACTCAAAAGGATTATGTATTACGGAAGTTAGAATGAGAAACATATTAGGTGAATTTTCAAAGTAAGGTGCAAACAATATTGAGAGATGTAGCAACACATTCTGCGAATTTTTGGAAGAAACAAATTAATGTCTTTTGGTAGAGTTGGAAGAATGGAGCTGTTATCTGCGGAAATTTGATACATTTTGGCACTTTTTCTACTTATTTTGGCCGCCGTGGTGAAAAATTGAGGGCAAAATCTTGTGCAAAAAGCCACCTTTCGGTTGTTTTGAGAGAAAGAAAAATGAAGAGAGAAGAGGAGGAGGTGGGAGAGGAGTTGCGAGACGTGATATGAAAGGAAATGTGTTGTTAGGGTTAGTTGACTTTTATAATTTGTTTGAATTACATAATTCATTTGTAAGCAGAAACATAAAGATGTGATAGCAAAGGTATGGTGCTAAACCCAAATATTAAGAAGCAAAAGAAAAAATTGTGTAACTAAAAGGTGAAAAAATGAATATGGAACAAAGTATGAAAGATTATTCATAGAGATATTAATTGATTTTTACTGTAAATTCATTGATACACTTTAACGTCTCATTGTTTTTTTTAATTATTTTTTTTTAAATAAATTCTAATCGAACCGAACGTGCAATAAATAATACTAGTTAATGTGTATGTATTAGAGTTTTAGGATGAGAAGGAAACGAAGAAGGATATTGAATTGATAACGGCAAAAGCGATCGCAAAAGAACTCTAGAAGCAGTTCCCAATTGAGAGAATTACGATGATAATGATGGAAGTAATAACCAAACGTAACCTAAATAAAAGATGATGAATAAAATTACTCTAATCTTTTAACCATAACGATTTATCGATAGCAATTAATTCAATGTAATTGATTAAAATATCTACCTGATTTTTTGCGTTATAATATGTTTAATTGTTTTTTATATTATATAATATATATTTTCTTATTATATATTTTTTCTTGTTTTCACCGAAAAAATGGAGAGGAAAATCAGAGAAAAAGTACTGTAGCTTTTAAGACAGATTACATTTGATGTGAAGTAACTATTTATTTAAAGGATGATGACGATGGAAAGTTTACTAAGACTTTCGACGAAATGATGAAATCCACACACAATAAATTGGTTGCGGTTAAATAAATGAAAGAAGAAAAAATAGTTAGGATGAAACTTTTTGATCCAATTTCAAATGTAACTCTATGGCATTGAAGAAGCATTATAAAACTGGTGGAAAAACATGTTGAAATGAAATATAATTCCGGAAAATTGTGCTGAACAGGATTTCGCAATATTCTTTTGCACTGCAATGCATGGAAATATGAATTTCCTTTCAGAAATGAAACTTTGAAAAATGCATATTTTTAAGTAGATTATTATATTTTCTCAAAATATTTCTGTGCATTTAATTGTTGTATTTATCATGTAAAGAAAAACACACACACACACACACGCATATTGGAGGAAAGCAAAGAGAAGGAAAAAAAACAGCTCAAACAAGTGAAATTAATGTGACGTTTAAGATGTAATGAAGTAGAGAGCTTTCTCACAGTGGAGAATGAGAAGGGATTTTAAAAATTGAAATTTGACTTTTTGGATTATTTTTATCTAAAATATGTAGATAACAGAAAAAAAATGAAAATACTGAAGTGAAAAAAGGTGAAAAATTTAGTGAATTGAGGAAATATTTTTAATTATTATAAATTATATGAAGAAGAAGAAACAAATTAAATAATGTAAATCTATATAACTTCATTATTATTAATTATATATTTGCCTGCATTTTGCTTGGTTTGTATTTTGCTTGCGATATAATTATTACAAATTATTATCATTATTATTATTGACAAAAAACCCGTATTTATTTTATTTTCTTCTTTGTTATTTTCTCACTTAATTTCTCATTCTCTGTATTTTTATTATATTCTACATTTAGTTCCTTTCCATATATCGTAAAAAACAACCTTCTATTATATATCTGCCACTTGTCAGTGACTAGTTCAAAACTTGATTTCCAGAATACTTACGGTTTTCTTGTTATCCTCTCACAGTTTTTTTTTGTCATTTGAGAAGATGAAACGTTTGTCGAGTTGAAGCGTCCACTCTCGTTATATTATTACATCTTGCTGCAATATCAGAGATGAGAAACATTTTCCCTTCATTCTACGTATTTTTCTTTTGTTCTTCTCGTTAGTTTTTTTCCCTTAATGTCTCACAATTCGAAACATCTTTTTTTTTAATCATTTGTGTTCTTTCTCCGTGATGCACCAGAAGAGTGAAATTTTTTGATTGGACTAGATCAGAAAGAGTTTCGATGTGAGAGGCAATACATGATGAGGTCGAGAATAATACAAGCAATTGCTGTCATAGGTGTACTGTTCTTAAGACGAGAAGCATTGAGTCTTAACAATAATATAGATTTGCCACACACACACAACAACCAAAAGAAATCTATGAAAAAAAAACAAGAATTATAGCAAGAAAACAAACAGTTGGTAATTGTTTGCAGACCTTAAATCTTGGCGGATCGCTCAACTTTTTGAGAAGATCAACTCAATCGATGAACGTCGGCGCTGTCTGCTGTGTGGAAAAATCGTGTGCAACGTTCGCAATCATTATTACGTCCATTTCCCGGGAAAATATTCGTGCTCGCTGTGCCCCGCCGTTTATACACGCAGCGATACTCTCTTGATGCACGCCAGATCCAAGCATCCGGATCAGGGTCTCTGAACACTGAGAATCGCCTCCATGCTCCCATTCTCAGTCTTCGATGTACCCCCCGGCCCACTTAACTGTCCCTTGTGATCTCTCTCTCTCGGCTGATGTGATTTGTTGACGGAGCGCAGGAATGGGGAGAGCAAGGAAGAAGTTTGAGAAAGCACTATAGATGAGATGACTATGAGGAAATATCCTTTCTTTCAACTATATATGAAATGATGGAAATAATGTCTAGTGAGAGAATTGCAAGACACTTATTGGATATTTTGCCTATATATACTTGCCTGAAATGCTTTTTGATGTATTTTTGATATAAGATCGCCACATACCTTTAATATCTCTATTTATATGGTGAAAACACTACACGTATATACAGACAACCTCATCCCATCGGTCTGGGTGTGGGCTTCAGCCTAGGACTGGGTCCGGAGCCAAACGATTACAGTGGTTGTTGTCACGGGGCTTGAATGGTTGCTTGATGTTGATCCGACCGACACGAAACTGACGACCGTTGATCCGTGGCTGACAACCAAGTCTGACCGATGGGAGCTCAGTGAAGATGATTTAGTTAATTTTTTGAATTATTCCATTTTGTTTTATGTGATGTTATATAGACAGAAGCTATATGATGAAGTAAGATGAGAGAAGTGGAGAGGAGAGGCATTAGAGCCAAGATAAGAGAGAGACCAGTGAATGTAAAAGGAAAAAAAGTGATGTGAGGAGGAGGTTTCAGATTAGGGACCGATGTTGACCCCACACACAAAATCCCTTGCCTTCTTCTGTTGTCTTCTACCGGGCTGATAGGCCACTGGTGTGCTTGTTGGTTGCAGGGCCGGGGGGGCATCGTCCACCTCCACCACTTCCACCGCCGCCACACCTCCACCATCACGGGCAGCTCGGCGAGCCGGAGCATCCGCTGGTGCCCGGTGGGTCGCGATGTGGCGATGGCAGTCGCGGAAGCCCCACCGTGGCCGTCGTCGCCGCCGCCCTCCAGCACCATCAGCACCACCAGCACCAGATGTCCTACCACAATATGTTCTCGCCCACGCGGGAGCTGGCTGGCACCATGTGGCGCTGCCGGACGTGCGGCAAGGAGGTCACCAACCGGTGGCATCACTTCCACTCGCACACCGCCCAGAGGAGCATGTGCCCCTACTGCCCGGCCACCTACAGTCGCATCGACACGCTGCGCTCGCACCTGCGGGTCAAGCATCCGGATAGGCTGATCAAGAACTAGGGCCGGAGAAGCCAGTCGGAGCGATCACTGTCTGCCTAGATGTGACCAATGGCCCAGACCGCGTGGGCCTTCCCGGCCCTCGAGTGAGTGATCGCGCCCCGGGAACCAATTCCAACACACCCCAGACCGTGACCAAGCTCAGTTGACTCCATCGTGTGGCCTCCGCCCGTCCGCCCTCACGACAGTACCAACGAAGATTGTTTTCTGCCAAATAACCATGAATTTCTGTATAGACACCTTCTGTGGAGAAATGTTGATGAGATTGTCAAGCTTCAGCCCTGACCTCAGCTTACCCCATTCCCCAATCCTGTACATAATACAATTCAGGCGCTGTCTATGGACGATCTGTGTGAGATTTTCAATTCTTTCGAGCTTGTCATTGTCAAAGAGAGATCGTTGAACCACGAGTAAAGCTTAATGTTATACCCATACACAGTGCCACAATCCCATCCCCTATTCCTGTTGTCCGCAGAGCTTAACAATTTTTTTTTTTAAGCTTTAATGGTATAGACGTAAATGTAAATAGGTCCACACACAATCCTATATAATTCAATGTGCTATTTATTGAAAGAAAAAAAATCTAGATGATGTAAGACACAGATTTCTTGCAGTATTTAACCCCAAATCTGTCCTTAATCAAGTTTTCAACGACAAGTTAGGTAAAGGAAGGTTTTATCAGGAGATATCTTGTCCACCAATGTGTAAATTTTCTCAATATTAATGTAAATGTTAGACGGTTTTCAAATCATCAGACAAAGTTTAAACGGTTTCAATGGATCATTGTGAGAGAAGTATATTATTATCGAGAATTATACACATTTTAGCTCCTCTCCCCATCACTGGTAAGAGTGAATAGGATGACATATAAAAGACATAATCAAAGTTGGTGTAAAACTTTAAATTTTTCTTACTTGCATTGCACATCTGTAGTTGAGAGAAATCAATATTATCTATATTGTATCATGTTTAGAAATGTAAGATAAGACGGAGTTGTATTCACTGGAGTCTACGAAGCGTTTTTTTCTTTGGCATATATACTGTCACTTTGAAAGCATAGTCAATTTGTGACAAAACTTTGTATTAGTCATTTCGCTGAAAATGGTGCGCATGGGAACATTTATTCTATATACTGAGCTTTCATTGAGCTTCCACGTTGAATACAAAGAAAAAAATCATTTCAGACGATCACGTTCTTTTTCTTTCTCTTTATATTTCTATTTTTGTTTTTAATTCTTTCATAAAAGAATATTTGTGTTCATTCTAGGTGCTTTAAGTAAAAAAATTATATTATATCGCAGCTTTTACTTTGAGAAGACTTCTTTAGTCAATTTCATAAGACTCCGTCTGTAAGAACATTTTGAAATGAAAGAAAAAAAAATCTGCAAAATACATATTTACAAGTAACGAAACTACACGTTTTGGTGTAAAATTTTTATGTGATATTTGACGAAAATGGAAAGTACCTAAGCAAAATTTTGAAGGAAAGATGATTAGGAAATAAATGAAATTAACCCCATGTTTTAAACAAACAGAATAAAAAACATACCAATTGGACGAAGATTAGGCGAATAATGTCAGAAATAACTTACGGTACCATTCATTTTCCCTCCATATTAAACAACGTAGATAATTTCATTTGAGGCAAAATATGTAGATGATTAGCTGATAAAACTGTAAGTGTACATAGTATTTGATGAGGAAAAACTGGATAAATAGTGGATCAATGATTTAGAGATGACCAGAGAGCCGAGGAGAAACATCATAAGACGCTGTATATATTTTTGTACAAATTTAATTTGGATGAACTATGAGAAGATACATACTTTTTGATAAATGATTTATTAGTTGATAGACTGGGAAGGAGATGAGAAGAATTTGTGAAAATGCGGAAATACAGTGAAAAATCTTCGTTATTCATCAATTAGACATTTTCTTCTTGTAAAGAGTATATGAAAGAAAAGAAAAAAAATGAGTAAGAAATCAAAATCCAGCCAAGTTTAAATCAAATTTCTGTCTAAAAAAAATGTAGTAAATAAGATTTTAGATGCATAAATCTTATCAAGTCAAACAACAAAATATGCATAATTAACATAATGAAAAATCTTAGCATTGAATTTTACCAAAAAAAAAAAGAGAGATTTGAAACAAGAAAATTAGAGGGAAGGTGATTTGAAATAAGCAACTTGTGCAAACATTTGACGCAAGTTTAATTACTATCAAATTACTAAGGCATTATACAGAATAGCAGCTAAAACATAGATGTTCACAACAGAAATTATCCAATGAGGAAAGTCTTACAACAAATAATTAACTATGCAAGTACCAAAATATCTACAATACTTTTATTCATGTTTAATGAGAAGAAAAAGAAAAGTAAAAAAATGAGAGGGAATCAAAGGAGAAAAAAATATTAAATCTTAAAAGCAGCATTCTTCGTGTGTAGAAAAGTAATATATTTGTGAAATTGCAAAAGTATCTCAACAGTGTTTTTCATTGGTTTCATAACGTCTGTGGCAAAAAATTATTCAGATGTATAATGCAAATATCATGAAATATACAAGTTGTTTGAACTACAGGTAAGTTGTTTTTCCTTACTACATGAAGTAAAGCTTTAATGTTTATGGTACTTTGGAAAACACTCCACTTTGCTTGCGCTCTTAAACTTTCAAAACCGTCCTTCCGCGCGTTTCCACCCCAGACACCAGAAAACTCACCACTGTGGTGAGATTCACTATCCTGAGCTTTTCGGGTATATATATAAATGTGGGGAATTCGGAAGCACCACTTATCCGAGACACATTTCTCACCTATTTTTATCCTGAGCTTTTGTGGTGAGTATCTATGATTTCCCAATTCACGTGCTTTATCCTGTATTCCGAGTCCTTATTGGTGAGAATCCAGATGAATGAAATTCTTTGGTTAAGTTTTCTGTAAAATGTTTAAATATTTATTCGTTATGTATCAGCTGAAGTATTATAAAATCACTTTCACAGGAAACTCTGAAGCAATAAAATCAGTAATTGATGGCTTCTCATAAGCAACTAGCGCGCATCCAAATTTAGTATATAAAGCCTATATAGTATTATATCAAGGTATTGCTTCAACACTATTCTATCAAGTCAGCTTTCTTGAAGACTCTTGGTCAAATTCTTCTAGTTTGTTAATTATATTCATTATATCAGAAGGTTTGCAAAATATGCTGTAGTTTATTTAGAATTTGCTGAGAGTTCATTGTTCGCAGAAGAATGTCTGGTAAAAACAATTTATATACTGTGACTTTTAGGCAATAGTGTAAGTTAGAGTGGGTTAAGTGAAACAATAAACCATGGGTTCATGCCATTATCGCATCCATTCGTGAAATAATATAATTAATTCCCATTAGGAAAATTGTTGATTTAGGCCCAGAATATTTTCAATTATACTCCTACATTAGTTTTCAACTATCTAGCTAGAGAATTCATCTAGGAAATAATTTAATACGCCATTGTTAATTTCAATTTACGTTCTATAAAGAGGCTCCTTCTTCACTATATGCATCCGCATCAACGGATGCAATTTAATTGACCTCCAATGAGGATTTCTCCCTTCACTTCTCATCTACGATACATTTGGGTATATAATGCGAGGAGAAAGAGTGAATATTTGCTGAAGGTTTGATATTATAGAATGAATTTAGAGAAGAACAAGTTTGATATTTTTCCAAGGAGGTATTAGGGAAAAATAAAAAAAGTCCAAGGTAAAGGAAAGCGCACTTCTTTATCGCATGTGAAAGCCAAAAGCACTCAAGTTAGTGTTTCTTACGTGAACAAATCATCCATCGTTTTTCTCCCTTCATTTATATACCTCGTTTTTTTTATTATTATTTATTGTGTTTTCTATGTATAAATAGTAAAATTTCTTCCTCTAGTTCAATGGCACGTGAGTTTATCTTCTGATTCTCAGACATTAAATCAGGTTTAGATTCCTTTTATGTGCTAATTCCTTTTCGCTATAAATCTCTTCATTGTTTCTACGAATTTTTTTTTCTATCTCTTCCTTCAAGAAAATAATTTCTATACGCCTAATATATGCAGCAAGAAATGTAATTTGTAATAAAATAGAGAATTCTTCTTTTTTTAGTTATATTTATGTACAGGAAATTGTCAGAGAAATTTCTCCATAATTTTTTTTTGTTTCTTTCATATATGAAACTTTTCAACAAGTATCGTCGTGATTTGATTAGATTTCGAGTAACTATTCATTTTATATTAAGTCATTAACAGAAGAAATCTTTCAGTGGGAAACCAGAGGCAACGAACAGTGGTATTTTTTTTTTTCATTGTGGAAAAACAAATAACATTTTGAGAAAATGTAAAATTGTTCAACACGTCCTAATTACCTACTCATTCACAATATTCCCTGTCATTTACCCATATTCGCTATAACTGTACCTATACGAAAGTCAAACTGCTCCCCATTTTGAAAATAAAACCCAAACTGCGCGGAACTTTGCGATATTCATCCACAAGTTTCCTAATAACCCGTCACAAGTCCATGTGCGGCTGTTCGTTGAGGAGCGGACTAATACTGGCATCTGTTCCATTATCTGAACACTTTGTCTTCGACATCCAATCCAGATCCGAGACGGTGGCCTGGGGAAAAATGACAAGAATTTTTCATTCACGATTTATTGCTGCTGCTGAGGGGAGAATAATTTGATGGAACTGCCTTATGACAATGTAAAATTGTTATCTTTATGAAAATGTCATAAAACAAAAAGGGCGAGAGGCTCTTCGCCGTGTACTTTTTTTTTATCCCTGATGTGGGGATATTATTTTATGTAGTCTCTTCAATCATATTCCATATGATTTCGATGATTTTCAATTAAGATTGAATTAGTACAAAAAATGTTATTTCATATAAGAGAAATTCGGGCCTTTGAGGGAAATGTCTTGTTTTTCTGGCTGCCATTCGATGCGTATGTGGAAAAAGCATTAACTATAAGGAATCGTTTTTAGGACAAACGGCAATTTATCATAGAGAAAATGACTTTGGTTAATAGAAAAGAGCTTTAAGCTGGAGGAGCGATTTTTTCCTCCTCTATTAGCCACACAATGCGAGTGATAAATTGGATAAGACCGCAAGAGTCACGGATGGGCAATTTCTCGTATCGACCTTAATTTTTTCAAGAGCCTCTCGATAATCCTTCATTTGAGGGCCATCAATTGGAATCCGACAGAGAGAGAGAGACATTAGCGACTTACCTGGTGCATTGAGTACACGGCCAGAACTACGAGAACATGCATTATGTTGTGGGAGTTCAGGTAGAGATCAACACTGCCGGGAAACCACTTCTCAGGAATATGAAGTGCCCCTAATTAGTAGATTTCAGAGAGGGAGAGAGAGAGAGACAGATTTTAATTTAGTCAAATGGAACTACACGCCACGGCAAAAGAGTAAAGACATTAAGGAGTAATGCCTTAATTGGGATATAGAGTCTCTTTATATGCTTTTGCTTATGGCTGTGCGGCATATGTGAGGTAATTTGGGCTGTTCATTCATTTAATATCTGTTCTAATTACCAATCATTCCGCCGAGAGCAGAGACAGCGTCCTAGGTGAGCATGGGGGGCGAGGAGAGGAAGTTATAGACAAAGGCACCGGTAATTTTGGGCAATTAATTTCACCTGCAGAAAGACATGGGTGAGAGCGGCCGGATTTCCGCCAGCCAACTTCAGGGTGCGCAGCATTGTCAGGAGCACCCTCATCATGAAGGGTAGCAAGAAGCATAGGCGTCTCTCCCACGGCGAGAGGGCGGTCAAGGCCTGAAAGGGGAGACAGTGACTTTAGTGACAGCTGGACCGGGCCACATTGTAGCTAAGGCGAGAGAGCACTTTTTTGCACCCCCATTTGGGTCCTTATTTACAGCAAGACTCTACCTTGTACAGTCCCCAGAGGCTCAGCATACAATAAGCCAACATTAACGACCACTTTAGCTTCCATCCCAGGCAGAATACTGTCGCCGTCACCATGGGCAGAGCGCCTACAAAGGAAAAGGAATTTGTTAGGCGGGTGGAAAACAATCATCCGCCAATAATCGAAATTACACAAGCCATTTGATACTTGTACAAACACGCATAAGAATAACACATAGGCGAACGTGAAAAAGAGGGGTGAAAGTGTGAATAAATAATTTCAGCTCGGAGAACTTCAATCCCACATACTGGCGATATTTCCTGATATGTGTATTTTTGCCTCTTTTTTCAACTCCCACGACATCAAACCAAGGGAAAATCGACACATTCATGATACATTTTGAATGTAAGCCACATCGATTATTTACGGCTTTGCCGCTTATATTAGTAGGAATTTTTGCATGTCGACAGTTTCTCTTAACTCATGTGCACATTACGTGCCTTTGCATTAATTCATATTCAAGGGGTGCAAAGAGAGCCCAATAAAAATGGTGTTGCTGCAGAGATAATTCAGAAGGATGATTGTAAAGTTTTGATCCCTCGGCAAGATTTACACCGCCCCTAAATGCGTGTTCGTGCGGAAATACATTATGAGAGCCCATCAAAAATTTAACCCCTGGGATTTCGTGTGAGAATCGTCTCAAAGATATACAATACTCAGTTATCTCTCAAATGAAGGTGATGCAGTGCTAAGGAATAGTGAATGTCCTCAAATTCCATTTTATTTCCTATATACTTGTGACCTCTAAACATCATTCTTGGAGTATTTGAAGATCTCAAAACTTTTTTCCAGGGCTATAAATATTTCACGAATGATAAATAAATCAATAAGGACACTTCTTTCTCTAACTTTTCACAAACACCCCACCATCTTCATCCAATATATTTAACAATTCAGCAAAAGTGTCCATATTTTGACTCAATGGTCTGACCTTTAAATGTTTTCCCCCACTTTATCTTATCTATTTGTGGGGATATTGAGAAAGGTCACCGAATGTAATTTAATATCATTTGGTGTGCCAACTCTGCAACGCTCAAATGGAGCTTTCGAGGAGCTTTCACCCCTAATACGGAGGGATTTGCAAAACTACGAGATGAATTGCCTTCTGGTGGATATTTGGAGAATCCCTTTTGCCAATCAATCGATTTGGGACACCCAATGGCGTTTCGGGCCTGTGCTTCTCAATCAATTCTCGTTCTAGGATCCGTTGATAGAAAATAAAATACGCGTATACTTTTGCCACCATTCCCGTGACCGAGAAATCTATTGTTTTATTAGGTAATTGGATTAGGCAAATGTCAGACGGAATTCCGGAAGTTTTCCTCATAAGTGGCATTTCAAATAGACAGTGAATGAAATCAGGGACTATAAGTAGATTTTAACTATTCATGACTTTATTATCTGCTCTTGGAGAGTTGCAGAAATACTCTTCTCGAGTATGGATTATTCATGTAACTGCAAATGGAGAATTTCTGTATTTTCTTGAAGATAAATCTGAAATTTAATTTTCCAGAGATGAAAAAAAATCCCTCCCTGCTAATTATAATGTTCTTGCTGAAAAGACACTCGGAAAAAAGTTGCGTTGCGGAGTGCGAACGTTGGGCCTGCTTGTGAATATTTGATGAACCATAATTAGGTGGTTCTAAACATATGAATCCCTCACACGTGTTCTCCTGAAATCAGCATAAAGTACGTTGTGAAGTCTGCGAGTTAATTTCTCGCTCAACTACATTATTAATTAAGCATTAGCCAAAGGGTTGTCGCAAAAAGTTGAGGCCAGAGCACACAACCTGAGCATGAATATGGCAAAAATGTTGGGTTACACCATATTATTTTGGGCCCAACCAAAATACTCGAGTGGAAAATACAGGAGATTTTACACACTATTAGGGTCACTCAGTGGCAAGTATGACCATGAATTCTCGCATTCGAAAAGGATCGATTCAACAAAACGGCTCTTAAAATCATATTTCACGCAAATTTCGCGTGAGTGCAAAATTATTTGACACTGAAATGACCCTAAAAATGTATGAAATGTGTTTGGCAACAGTTTCTGAACAATGCACAGGGTTGTAAAAATATAAAAAGCTACACCTTGGCACACGCCGAGACTCACCGAAGCTCTGGCTGATCCAGATGCCCAACATATCCAATTGGAGCAATTTGTAGTATATGCACTCACCATTCTCCAGATTCATGAACAAATGGTAGACAAAGCTCCCTGAAACGGAAGAGAGGTTATTTTTTTTTGAGAAAGCTCGCCAAACTGGTGACCCAAATAAGAGCCTATTTGGCAGATGAACTTTTACCGATCCACGGGCAAACGGCTCCAATAATGTGGCACCAGGAGAGAAAGCGAAAATCATTTTCCCAGGGCATCAGAGCCGGAACTATTGCCAGGATGTACACAATTGGAATTCCTGAAAATGATAAAGGATTCAGTTATTCTCTCGTATAAATTTGCAATCAAGTTTTATTGATTGTTTATTTATGGAAATTGTATTTAATAATGCAGATTAGCAGTAAATTTTCAAGACATTTTCATCATATTCTGGTGACTAAGACTGCACTTTGCCTTGCAGTGCAATTTGTTGCACTGCAAGGCAAAGTATTGATTTTCACTTAACAGGGCATTGATTTATTATTTAATCATCGTGTAGAATTCTTGCAGATTGACCAATTATACGGTCTTGTTAAATGGACATGGATTTTAAAATAGCCTTGCATGTTGAGGACAATGAAATAGCCAATAAAACTCAGTAATCCATTTACAGGTTTGTTCATCACATAGTTTACAAATGAATACCACAGAGTATAAAAGCTCATTTAAAAATATATATATGTATCTTGCTGAACTTTCAGGCCTCCATATTGAACATGTATAATTCTCTACGTATATAATAAATTATGCTCTACAATTGCAATTCATTTCGTACACACTTCTCACATAATATTGTATTTTCCAAGCACTATTTGTCATGAATGTTGTGGACAAACTTCACGAGACCACACCTCCCTAATAAATTTAAAATTAACTAATTTTAAACCCAGAGTAAGGTCAATTGCGTGACAGAATAATGGAGTGTGGCGCGACTCAAAGCTCTCCGCCCAAGAGCCTCCTTGTAAATCACTTCCCGGAACCCATTAATTGCAATGCAAATAGAGAGAGGGACAGCACTCGAGACAGACATCGTCCTTGCCACCTGCCGGTCGCCAACTGGTGAACTTCTCAAATGAAATATTACTCGATTCTAAAGGAGCGTGTCAGAGTTTCACCCCCTTTTGCCCATTGCGTGATTTTTGTCAGGCTTAATGCCTCAACATTAACTATTGATGCTCTTGTGGGCCACAATGATGAGCTTTTTGATGAGCTCTCGCACCAGAGTGACCTCTGCGATGATTGTGTGCGGATTAGCAGGATATGATGGAAGATATAAGGTAATCTCGGGAAATTGAAAAATACAACTTTGGACAGTTGCATTGCTTTCTGAACACTTCACAATCAATTTGGCCCACTTCCACCCTCGTAGATGTGGAACTTTGTGATTTATATCTGCTTCTATCTCACAAACGGCTCCAACTGATTTACTTCTTGTGGAGCATTTCCAATTTCCGTTCAGAATAGTTGCTTTTTGTTGCAAATGTGGGTTTCTAACGTGAAAATTGAAAAGCTTTTAGGGTAACAATTGTAGAAATGATGATAAATCATTGAAAGTTCTGGAATATGCAAAGCTCCCTTTTGGTGTTAACTGCGACTGTCACAAGTTAGTTTTTGAATCATTTTGTCACTCCACACAAACTGTAATTAAATTCAAACACTTGCAATACAATTATTAACAATTAATTGTTTTCAATTTTAGAATACAATTCAAATTATTTGCTAAATTTTAGATTGTTCTGTATATCATAAAAGCTTAGTACATTGTCGAGAAAATTGGTGAAAAAAAGTGTCTCTGACAAAAATCCATAAAAATCGCTTGACATGAAGTCTTTCATGAATTTTCTTGTGAATTTTATTGCGACACAGAGTTATTCTCAATTTTCTTTTCTGTGTTCCGTCATCAGTCGAGCATATTGAGCCTATTATGCTCGGAATTGGAACGATTGGAATTGTATATACTTCGCCAGAGCTTTCACCAGGCGCCTCCATCTTAAATATTCATTCAAGCGAATTTGCCATGAAGCAGGATTCCTTTTTCTTCTATGTAACTGGAGGTTTCACTCTATCTGGGACTATTGCCGTGCAAGCAAATCACTCGTGAGAAATTTAGAGGTTTCTCCTGTGACATTATCTCTTTGTGCTGGAGCACCTTGAAAATTTCGGTGAGCGCCAAGGAAATTGTCGTAAATTGCTGGTGAAATTTTCCATGGCACTGTGGCAAAATCTCCGGTGCAGGGGAACCCCGTATCGTGTGGGGTGGCAGATGAGCTGGTGGTGCTCTCGGCGTGGATCTGGGGCGGCTGGAAGGGCAAGGGCGCGGAAAAGTGCTTTTGGGGTGTTCGTGCCAAAGGCAAATAACTCACCGTGTGTTAGGATGTTAATGGTCTCGTTGTGCCAGTAAAAGAGGCTGTACATGCAACCCCTGACGGTCTGGAGCGGTCGATAGCCGGTGAGGACGTAGGGATTGAACTGCAGATGCTGTGGCATGTCTGCCCAGCACAGCAGCTCCGGTTCCTGGCGCTCCGGGAAACGCTCGATGAGTCTCATGGGGCTCGCGGCGGTGTCACAGGGCGTGACCGGAGCCGACGGCGCAGCAAACATCACTGACGACTGGACACTGCTTACGGAATTGCTGCTACAACTGCTCGACGTGCCGGAGCCATTCACCACCGGTGACGACATCTCACTCTCTTGCAACAGCGTTATTGTCTCACGAGGATTCGCCACTGTTCAGATCGGGCAAAAATATTATTATCTGACGTACTGTCGGAAGTGCTTGTCGCATCCACTCACTACTTCTATCACAATTTCAATTGCCTTCTCTTGTTTGTCGACGAGAGTGTTGGTGAAAAGCAATTACGGGATCTTTGGAGCTTTAAGTGTTCTTATCCCATCGATTCATTATAGTCAGGCACCTAGAATTGATTAATTACACCACACGAATTTATGTAGATAAGATTGAGATGCAAAAAGAGTAAAACTATAAAGAAACTTAATCATTCAGATATATAATTCAACATTCGCAAAAAATATAGTCTCTCACACAAAATCATCTTCCACTCTTATCTAGACCCCCTTAACTCTTCACCTCGCAGACGTTCTCAACCTTCGTCCACTTATTGGATGGATATGAAGAAAAGAAGATAAATTGCGATGGGGTGCGTCTGAATAAAACAATTGGGGTGTCTTACAAAGCCTGTTGGAATAAATGGCGTTCACTGGCTTCGCATCCATCAAGTGAGCACCGCCAGTGAGAATTGGGGGTGAATGGGAGGACCTTGACCTGGCCATCAAGTGTGACTCTCCGGAAGTGTTAACCACGCGAAAACCCCACACGCAATGAGAGTGAAACTCATGTATCTGTGGGCAATAATACACTGGATCTGTACGGATGGAGAGTTTAATTAAAGATGATATTTGCCATTCGTCTGCGGTTTCACAAGAACAACAACTCGGTGCATTGTGCAGTCTGGATGGCCTGGAATTGAAATTGTGTCAAAAGCACATCGGAATTTATGTCCTCAGCTCTTGCCCCTTCACCCTGTGGAAGCTCTGCCGCCGCGTGCAAATGGGGCAAGTGTCAGGGGTTCATCAGCGCAATATATTGAGTACACAAAGCTGGGAAATTCTACATCTCTACACATAATGTGTAGAGATACATATGCCTGTACATAACCTTCGAAGAATCCTGCAAACTCTTTAAGTTTGTGTCTAAAGAGTTAAAATGGTCATGAGAGAAGATATCTTTCGATTTAAAAGAGTATGAAATTGTTGAGTGACTGAAAAGGTTAAGACAAGTGTACATTTACAGAAACATTAGTCATTTTTTTACCTTGACTGCTACGGATTTTCCTCTTACTTTGTTATCCCAAAGGGTACAAACTTTGTAACCACCGGAATAAATTAAAAGTTTCACGCTAAATTCCCTTCAAACATATTTACTTCTCCCAACTTTATTACCAACTTGTAACTGAGAAAGTTATGATTCCCAAATGTATAATCAGCATCCACAAAGTATTCTTTTATTTGAAACTTTGTGATATAATAGTTGATATGTTGGCTTCTGTTTGTGAAACTATGTACCGATGAACCCCTGAAGCTGCCAAAAAAGGGGAGGAACAGTGCTGAAGAGGTGAAAGAAGATCGTCCAATTTTCTCAGCAAGAAACTCGAAAAGGCTTTCACATCCCACCTCTAAGCTCGTCACTTGGCTAACACGATTCTTCATACTTTTTGGGTCATCAGCGTCTTCAACATCGCTCGAGGAGGCGACAGAAGTGACGAAGGAGGCCCATTTGAGGACAATTAGTGAATGACTGTGTCATTTCACTCGTGAGGATGGAGTTGGAGGAGACATTAGAGCAAATTGGCCAGTGATTTCCCTATTTGTGATTGCAACAATCACGAGTTGCCACGGTATGATTGCACTATTAATACGGCAGCGAAGAGGGTGGGCTGGATGGAGTGTAGATGATTTCTTTATGTGATACATAAAGTCGGGCCAAACTTATGTACTGGCCCTCAACGGCGTTTTCACGTGACGGTATCGGCGCGCCTGCGCACTGGGACGCCTTTTTTGCACTTGGCCCCAAAAGGGTGGTGTGCAGAGGGGTGGCACACCGAGCCCCTTTGCCCCTTTGGCCAGAGATCTGCAAAACTTTCCCGTACTTTCACTCAATTCACAGATCTTTTCATTTGCACAAGACACGGGGAGGGAAAATCCACCTTCAAATGCCTTTAGGCGCTGCCTATGTTGCACTGATCGGGCAGATATCCTGGTCACATTTTTCCAGGAGTGTGGGTGGTTCACTGGAGTCACTGAGGCGGACGTGCACTGAAGATTTATCCCAAATGTGGCTATCGGGAAGTCCTTGCGGGTGCACCGATGTTGTCTCTGACCCTTGGGCCCCACTTTCGCCTGGTCACCGAATGAGAAGCATCACGGCTTCCGGGCAACCGTTCACATCGACCGACTCGGAGTGACTGAGGAAAACCTGGGGTTTGCCGACGCCGAAATTCGCAAATCACGACTCCGAACGACGCGACTCTTTTCTCCTCCGCCAAAAAAAAACATTTCCTCCCATGTTCCACGTCCTTTTGACTCTTTCGACCGTTACAGTGTACTCTTCCTTGTGCTGTTTAACGTACTCTTACCTCAATCTCGGGCTTTGCCCTCGAGGGAAATGCTATTGATGTTCATTTCGATAAGATTTTCTCCATATTTCTTCTGGGACAAAATATTTAACATATTTATAGAATTACAAACTGATGTACTGAAATTAACATGATAATAAACGTTTAATATGAAGAAATATTGAGTATGAAATCATTCAATTTTTGATTAAGAAACCCTTAGAAGTGCATCAAATGCAGTAAAGAAAAATATTTTCGGAGAAATGCATCTGATATACAGGTATGTATGTAGTTAAAAGGTAAATTTTCATAACATTTCACATCTCTGTTCTGAATTGTAGGAAAAAATTAATAATACATTTTAATTTATTAAAAATGTTTCTCAAGTTCAAGAAGTCGTTATTTTAAATATGTAATGTTTTCCGCATGGTGGCGCTGCTGCCCATCGAGGAGATCTTCAGTGACAACCGGACGGCCATATTTGACCGAGGAAGAGTTTTTGTGCACTTCTCCAGGTGTAAACTTGTTCTATTTCGCAGTGATTAAGATGCTTTTGCCGTAAAAGTGGCGTTTGTAAGTGATAACCAGAGTTTCGAGCGTTATTTCCTCCTGAAGATGCAGGTGAATATGGGGAAATACAGTGAGAAATGGGCTGAGAAAGGCGGCACTGAGCGCGTCCCAGATTCCCAAACATTCTCCGAGGGATGGTTTTTTGCGTGCCTCTGGGGCTCTTTATGACGCATTTTCTGGTCTTTTCAGCAAGTGGACGATCCCCCGTATTTGTCTGTCGGCACGGAGGTTAGCGCTAAGTACAAGGGGGCGTTCTGCGAGGCGAAGGTCCGCAAAGTGGTCAGGAACATAAAATGCAAGGTGGCGTACAAACAAGGCCTTGGCTCCGGAACCGTGTCAGACGACCAGATAAAAGGGGGCAATCTGCGCGTGGGCGCCACCGTGGAGGTGAAGCATCCTGACAGGAGGGAGTTCGTAGAGGCAACCATCACGAAAATCCAGGACTGCTCACAGTACACGGTTGTCTTTGACGATGGAGACATCACGACGCTTCGACGGAGTGCTCTTTGTCTGAAGAGCGGGCGTCACTTCAACGAGAGCGAGACACTGGACCAGCTGCCTCTCACCCACCCCGAGCACTTTGGCAATCCCGTCGTGGGCGGTCGACGTGGAAGGAGGTGAGCTGTTATGGTAGAAAAAAGAACTCTCCAGACGCTAAACTGTAGTTTGTACTTTGTCAGGTCCCGTGCAATGCACGATGACAGCTCGGATGAGGAGGACGAAGTGGAGAGCACCAAGCCAGCGCCCCATGAAAAGGAGGAGCACATAGGAAAGGTGGTTTGCGTGGAGAGCACTGAGACGAAGAAGAAGAATCAGAAGGAGAACTGGTTTCCGGGTCTCGTGGTGGCTCCCACGGCTCAGGATACTGTCAGAATCCGCGTGAAGGATGAATATCTGGTGAGATCGTTCAAAGATGGGCGCTACTACACCGTGCCCAAGAAGGAAGCCACGCAATTCACGCGGGAACAAGCTAAGAATCAGGATGGCGTGGCTGTCCAGGCGGCTCTTGAGTATCTCGACAACGACACACTGCCGCCACATTGGGACAGAGACGCTTTGTTTGGCATTTCGGCCAGCTCGAGTGACTACGATCAGGAATTCGATTCAGACAGTTCTGATGACGAGCCTCGGGAGGAGAAAGATCACTTTGTGGCGCAATTGTACAAATACATGGACGACAGAGGCACTCCTCTGAACAAGGGCCCCTCAATCGTGAATCGTGATATTGATCTCTATCGCTTGTTCAGAGCTGCTCAGAAGCTGGGCGGCTACAATCGTGTCACGAGTCAGAATCAGTGGAAAGCCATTGCTTTGCGATTAGGATTCGTCCCGGCGACAACAAGCATCACTAATCTCGTAAAGCAAGCGTACAAAAAGTTCCTGCAACCCTTTGAAGAGTTCAACAGGAAATTGGGCTGCACGATGGTCGCTCATCCGCGGGCAAATAGGATAAAGGGCAGAAGTCTCGTGAGAGCAAACTCAGTGGCGTCTCCGAAGCCTGTTGATGGCAAGGAGACCAAATCTGTCTCGTCAACAGCCACAGATGAGTTTGAGAACAGTGAATCCAGTTCGGAGCCCACAAAGACGAAGAGGAAGCTGTCGACAAACAGTGGAAATGGGAGTGGAACGGCCAGGAGCAAGGTTGCAGTTGTTGAGAAGGTTGAGGAGAAAATTCCCAAGGAGGAAGAGGTTGAACCTCCGCCAAAACCACCACCCAAGGGCAAGGCAGCCAAGGTGGAGAGAGATGTTAAGGAGGAAGTGACATTGGTGAAGACTACAAAGGCAGCTGTGGCAAAGGAAGAGCCGGTGAAAAGTGAAGTTATCGCAACAACTCCCACGAGTAGCGCCAAGAAGGAGAAGGCGACTCCCAAGGCGAAGAATGATGATAAACGTGGACGAAAGAAGAAAGATGCTGAAGCTACGGACAAGGCAGATGTCAAGGAAGTCAAAGGGGAAGCAAAGAAGGTCTCAGAAACTACTACAGCCGATGACTTTCCTGTGGAAGTTGGGGACAAGTTGAACGTGTACTATCACGAGGAGACCGTGACGTATGAGGCGAAGGTAATTGAGAAGTCCACACAGAATGGCAATCCTATCTTCCTGGTGCACTACACAGGCTGGAATACACGGTATGATGAGTGGGTTCCTAAGGACAGAATCGTGGAGAATCTCACGAATAAGCAGAAACGTACAAAGAGTGCAACGACAAAGAGCACTCCGACTGTGGATAAGCCACCATCTATGCCGCCGGTGAAGTCTGCGGCCAAAAGAGGCCGTGGAGGCTCCAGGAGCGACTCTCAGCCGCCAAGATCAACTACCCCATCTTCCATAACGTCCAACTCTAGCAGGACAAAGTCGCCAGCCACTCCAGCGCAGCGAAGAACAACTCGAGGACAGCCGCAGAACATCAGAAGAACTTCCAATAATACTGACATCTCATCACTGCACACGGAATCGGACACAGACTCAGATGAGCCCGTGAAGAAGCCTAGTCGTGCCACTACATCCTTCACAATTCCCGGAAAAGCTGGTCCGGGAACAGTTCCACAATTGCCGGAGGCTATTGTGCCCGTTGTGGCCATGAGGAATGTGGGGAAGGAAATCCAGGCAGCGCTGAAGGAGGATGAAGAAGCCACAAAGGGCAGGGATTACGACCTCAATCAGATTAGATCGGAATTGAAGGGGTTCAAGGAGATGAAGTCTCCATCTCCGGAAGCAGCTGAGCAATCGCCAACTTCCAGTTCTCATCACGATCATAAGACAAGTCTATTTGATCTGTCAGACTCCAATACGGATTCCAGTGAGCAGAAGAGCGATGTGGCCAAGGGCAAGCTAACGTCTGGCACATCTTCGGAGTGTGACTCGTTTGGGGATGATGACTCGCAATCGTCGGAGAAGCTTGTCAAGTTGGAGAAAGCGCAACCGGTGAAGGCCGAGAGGGTGACTAAGAAGTCATTGAGTGAGAAGAAGAAGGAGGCTGATCTGTTGAGTGATAAGAATGTAACTAAAGTGGCGGTGAGTGTGGAGAAGATGGAGACAAAGGCATTGACGGGGAAGATGCAGGGTTTCAAGGGGAGTCTTGCGGAGAAGAAGAAGGAAGAGAAGGCAGCAAAGGCGGAAACTCCGACGAAGAAGACAACAGCTAAAGGGGAAAAGACTCCGACGCCGAGGGCAGAGAAGAAGGCTGTTGGTGAGAAAACCAAGGCTCAGACAACACCGAAAACGACGAAAACTCCTGCTCAGGATAAAAAGGAGCCGCCGACAAAGGAAGCGCCAGCTGAGGGAGATATTTATGAGTTCAAGGAGCCAGAACCTTTTGAATTTGAAAGTGCCACTGGTGGAGGTGCTAGGAAGATGGCCACACCGGCAACTGCTGCAGCGGAAACCACTCCTCCAGCTCCTCCGGAGAAGAAGGGCAAGAAGGCTCGTCAGCCGCCCGAGGACACAGAAGCTAAACCGGCAGGTCCAGCTGCGAAGAAGGCCAAGAAGACGCCAACAAAGGCGGTGGAAGTTGAGAAAGTGAAGCCACTGAAGAAGGATGAGAATCTAGATGCTCTCATTCCTGTCCACTTGATCCCAATTCCCAATGTGAAGCAAACAACATCTCAGCCACCAGTAACCACCGTTCAGGGATTGTCATCGGATCCCTTTGATGCTCTCAGGAAGAGCCCAAGCTTCAATTTGGCCAACACACTGAGTAGCAGTTCGCCAGAGATGCCAACAATGTCTTCAGCTCAGGAGCAATCGACTTCCAAACTGCCCATCTTCACGGATGACAAGTTTTTGAAGATCTCCGCCGACGTGAAGCGTCCTGTTGAGAGCTTCAAGAGTCCGGCTTTTGTCAATTCCTTCACAAATGTTCTCGACGCTCCGTGTCAATTCGGGGGCAGCATCAAGGATGTGTTCAAGGGCACTGAAGATGACAAGATGAAAATTGATGCGACGAAAGATCTCGAGACAGCTAAGAAGATGTTCCTCGCCTCGGAATCTCCGTTTGATATTGAGAAACCACTGAAGATTGAGGGACCTTCCATTGCTGATAAGATACTCATGAAATCCCTAAGTACACAGCCATCAGCAGGAGGTGAGGTGAAGACGGAAGAGTCTCAATTATCGCCAGCTCCAGCCACTATCAAATCACCGGATCCTACGCAAAATGCCGCAAAGGTTGAAGTTCCAACGCCTCCAGTTCCGCCTCCGGTGAAGTTTGAGATTCCACCGATGGTGGTGAAGAAGGAGGTGGAAGTGAAGGTGAAGACACAAGCAGTATTGCCGTGTGCTGACGCTGGAAAGGCGGATCCGGACATGCCTCCGAAGAACAATGATCTCTGCGAGACGATTCAGAAGCTTGAGTCAGCCATACAGAAGTCCTCAACTCTCAATCGCTTCACTGAAGATTCGTCGGACAGCACGGATTCGGAGCAGAGACTGGTGATTGAGGATGAGTCACACAGTTCAGAGGCGGTGCAGTCGAAGGAGGTGGAGAAGAAAGAGGCGCCGCAGCCGGCCAAGCCCGAGAAGAGTCTCACGGTGCCTCCTCTCAAGGTGGATAGTATTACACTGAAGGAGGAGAGTCTGTCCTTCGCCACGAAATTTCAGGAATCACTCTATGGGATTAAGTCTCCTGAGAATCCAGCAAGTGCAACGAAAATTCCACAAACTCAGTCTGAGAAGGATCCTCTGGCCGTGATGAAGTCGCCTTCGAGTGAGGATACAAAGCCTGATCTCACGTGCAAGGAGTCATTCGATGATTTCTTCACGGAAAAGAAGGAGGCTGTTCCGGAGGGTGGTCAGATTAGCGAGTCTTTCTCCTTGCTGCTCTGCGAAGAGACCATTCCGTGCAGTCCGGTGGCCAGTGGACATCTCCGTGAGGCTGGTGAGAGTGCCAAGAGACTCCACAATCCGCATCCCATCACAGCGGACATCAAGCCGGTGCCAATGGATATTGAGACGACTGAGGTGAAGGTGGAGCCTCAGAGAACACCCAACAGCTCTCCAAGAGACTCCATTAGTCCCGATGACCGTGAGTTATTTGCTTTGGTGTTTTTATTGTTGGCGAGGAGAATAGATGATAAAAGACATTTCTCTTTCAGGCACTGAAGAGTCTGGTGTTCAGAAGAAGCGCAAGAGATTGAGAAAGTCGTCGGAATCTGAGGTGACGACGCTGCCCAAGAGGCGAAAACCTCCCACAAGGAGAACAGCAACATCAGCAACAAATGGATCGGACAGTGAAGACAATTCTGATCCGAGCAGCACTCACAGGACTCACGTGAGGAGATCTCCCAAGCCATGCCAGTACAACTTCCTCGTCCAATTGGGTGAGTGAATATGGGCTGAGATGATTTGATAGGATGTCCAATTGACCAATGCTTCTGTTGTCTCTGCAGATCCAGCACTGAATAGTGGTCAGCGCATTGCGATATTGAAGAAGAAGATTCAGGAGTTGCGCAAGACGTACAATCAGATTAAGGCGGAGTTGGCGAGTATCGACAGGCGGCGAAAGAAGCTGAGGAGGCGCGAGAGGGAGAACAAGAAGAATCAACAAAAGGCGGCGGCAACTTGAGCGTCTTTGAATTGTACATACAAGATGGAATTCCTCTACATAGTGAGTAACATCATTTGACTTTAGTTTATGATTTTTGTAAGCATTGGAAGTTGTATTTTGCTTTTGAATCCTCTTTTATGTAATGACTTATTTTTTTTTAACCTTTTACTGTAAAGTTTCGATACGAAATCAGTGAGAATAAAGGTTATATTAGTAGTAAATTTCAGAGAGAGTTTCAGTGGAGATTTTGGTTCTTTTGCAAAGAGACAAATCGAAGTAAAGTAATAAAACTGGCGTCGTTGTGCTTTCCGAAAATATATTTCTAATAATTATAATGGCACTTTGATATAATATTAGTCTGTCTGGCCAAACAGATTTCTCATTCACAAAATATCACATCAATATATTGTAAATAAATTGCATTTTCCTATATTGAAATAATACAGTAAGAAATCTGATTATTACAAAATATATTTACAGAAATATATTTTACACATTTTCAGTCGCAATTTTTTTTCCATGAATAGTTTTCCTTTTTTTTGCTTCATATCTCAATATAAAAAGTTTGATTATACATATAAAATTCTACACATAACTTCAATCAACATTTCACGCGTTCTCTCTTTCACTAACACTTAAAGGCATTTTCAGTAGGGCGAATTTCCCTTTGCGATACATTTTTGATAGAACATATAAGAATTTGTAGAAGTAAAAAATATTTCTCACATAGCTGCGCTTTTCCTAGCCTTAGATAGATAAAATGGGAAAGTCACGTTGGTTTTTTTTATTAAGGAAGATCCTGACTGAATAAGGCCTCATTCGTCAACTTGAGATTATTATAGCATATTTTAAACTTGTTCTCTTCATTAACACATAACAAGTGCAAATGTTATATTTTGTCAACTATATGATGTTGGAAAAATAGTGTGGAAGCAATTTTGTACTGATAAATCGTGATTATAAAAACTACTATCAACTAATATAGTATCATTTTTTTCCCTAAAATAAGACACATTTCAACACCCAGGCAAGAATATTCTGATCAATTGCAATTGAATAGGAGATACAACTTATATTGGGGGGGATAATAAGTGAATATAATTTTGGTGATAAGAGAATAAATAGGGAGTAAATAATTGCCATTGTATAGAGCGTATCATTTTGGAAGATATTCCCCATCAGTTCGCCGGGAACTTGATAAAATGATGTAGAAAAGACGATGGAGTTTGGGATTCTTGGAAGCAAGAATTTCAAAGAGCTTATCTACTGTGACAGTCCGAAGAGCTTCAGGGCATTGAAGGCAGTGGCCAGAGCCACCTCTTCGGGTGTCTTCTTCATGAAGGCCGCAATCATTTCCACGATTGCCGGCAAACTACATGGTTCGTTGCGTTGAAAAGTACAGTATCTGTGAAAGGCAATTTGAGTACAATCAGAGATATTTTCGAGTAGGAATTCCAATTGGGAAGGCTTCTTTACCTGTGCAGAAACAGCAAAGATCTCTCAGTAATAGCAGTCTTCACGTGCTGAGGCAATTTCGATGCCCTCGTATTTGGATACATAAACGGAGAATCTGACTCCACCAGCAGCTTGTCCACTGACAGAGTTCCGTCCTCCAGCAATTTACGGACACCGGTGTCCGATTTGTCCTGCGAATACAGCCAAAAGAAATGAGTGATTTTACCCACTGTTATGCAATACAATTGCTTGTGAATCTGAAGAAACTGAAAGTGAAACATTAATGCATGGAAAATTCCAATATATACACGACAAGGCAGTGAGAATTTGCTGAAAAACTGCCACGGAAGGGCATCGAATCGGAAACATCTCGTAAGATGTTATGTAGGAGATCATGATCGTCTCTAAAAGTAAAACGAATGGGTGTTAATGAAACATTTACAGTGTGTGAAAATGTACTGCAGATGCAAATTAACACCTTGATTGCTGCCAGACCGCATTTCTTTTATTGGCGCTCGCGCACTCTTTATCTCTTGAGATTCATTCAATTGGCCTGTTATGTGTTTGTGGGGAGAGAAAATATACACAGTGTGAATGTCTATTTTTACCGACTTTGAACGCATTTTCATATTTTGCGTCTTCCTTGACAATACATTGAAATGCCGAGGAATTTGTGTTTACAGTTCACAACAGATATAACTCTTGATTTTTTACATAATTCATGAGACAAGGAGGAATTTCTTCTGTATCACGTGAACTTATAAATATTGCAGGCTCTGTGGGTGGCATTTGTGTTGATTTTTTCTTTATCAAAATAGCAAGACAAAATGTTAGATGAAAGGTAGAAAAATATACTTTTGAGATTGAATTTAACCCAGAAAGTCAATTGGAGATCATATTGAATTCATTGATGAGTCAAATATGTATGTTACGTGTGGTGATCCCATTGTGATGATTATCCACCCCATTTGGGTGGTAATTGGTGAAATTTTCGGTTAAACACACATTATAATTCATCTTAATTGGACGACGCTGTGAAGCGTGATTTTTTTTTGAAGAACCGTAAACAAAGAGATCATCAAAATTCCCCCCTAAATTTATGAATGAGGAATGGAAAAATACGCGGAAAAGTGCCCAACAGACGGCACACACGTGAATGAAGTGGATTTTTAGTTCAACGACACGGACGAGTAAGATTGAACCACATTGAAGGGCAAGCGGGAGGTTTTATCGTCGCGTGAAGTAAACACTGTAATCAATCGATTGTCACTGGTGTGTTGTTCCCAAGAAAAGGGCTGGACGATGGAGGAGAAAAAAAACCACCTGACGGAGTGTGGATTTCATGTGGCCATTTGGACGGGAGAAATGACCAGGGAAAAAAATTGATTGCGTGCCTGATTACTAAATCGCGGAACGACCAAACGGCTCTGAGAACTATAAAAAGTGAAATTGCACACTATTTATTGCTTTAATACTCTTTTTTTCTCTCTCATTTGGTGTGTTGAACTCTTTTTGCGTGAGTGGTGTTTGATTTTTAATATAACGTAGGCGGGAAGAAGCAAGAAACTGTTGCATTTTCACTTTTTTGCGGAATCTCTTTTTCCCCAATTGTCGTGCATGCTCACCTTACACAAGTAGCCAGTTAATCCTAAGAAGAACCCTCGGCCGAGGTACTTTAGTGCTTCGTCTGTGGTGCCCATAAAGCCTTTAACAATTACTTGTGGCACTTCCGGATATCTGCAGAGAGATGGGAAATTGTCATGATTCCGCGCGAGCGACAAAGGAAACACACTCACTTCTTGAGTATCTCCAGGACGTCTTCTTGGGCAGATCTCTCATGGATGAGGAGCGGCTTGTCGAGTTCGCAGGCGAGTTGGATTTGCTTCTCGAAGATCTCCTTCTGGACCTCCGGTTCGGAGAAGTCTCTTTGGTAGTCGAGGCCGCAGGGCCCGATGGCCACGCACTCGGGCGCCTGGGCGATGGAGCTGAACTCCAGCCACGAGTCCAGCTCCTCCTGCACGGACTTGGAGTCGTGCGGATGAATTCCGGCCGTGGAGTAGACAATCCCTGGGTAGATTCGCGACAGTCTCAGTGCCTCCTTACTGCTCTTCACCGATGAGCCCGGCACCATGATCTTCTGGACTCCTGACAGAGACAATGAGATACGGGGCGTCAGTGTGGCCTCGACGGGGCGTCTAAAAATAGCCCCTGATCGCATCGTGCGTGGTCCACTTGGTGTGTGGCGAGGGAAATGTGTCAAAATCACGCACACACTCACGCTCAGGCTCACCTGCATCTTTCGCCCTCTGGATCACAGACTCCTGGTCCCGGGTGAACTTCTTGTGCACGAGATTCGCCGCTGCAATGGAGGAAAAATCGCGTGAGTCATGCACTGACATCCCCAAAGGCGCCCCCCTGTCCAGAGAGACCAGCGGAATGTCCAGATCTCAGGGCATTGCTGGCCACGGCCGCCTTACCTCCGTCTATTAGAATAAGATTCTCGTAGAGATGGTCAAAACTCTTCTCATCTGCCATGCTAAGCACTGGGGTAATTGTTAATGCACTTTATAAGGCACCACGTAAAATGTTTGTTAAAACTATACTCCTCCTCTGGCCACTTTCGTTCGAATGAAGGGGATTTAATTGTGTTTTGACGATTGAGCGCTGCCCACGAACCACCACGAACCGACGAAAAGTCACACGCGAGTTGACTTGAGAGGTCTCAATGGAAAATTCCACAGAAGCGACGGATTTATCCCACCATTGCTCATCTCTTTATTTCATTCTCACATAACTTTATGCATTGAATTGCATTGATTCCATTGATTTAGACCTCAGCAGTACTCGATAAAGGTATAGAGATTTCTACAATGGGTTTGTAGTTTCCTTGAGGTATCCATGCATGCAAGAAATATGAAATGCAAAAGAAGCCTGTTTTGAAATCTCATTAAGTCCACGAGAATTCCACTGCATTCCAATGAAGAGATTTTATGGGGATTCACGCGCATTCCCCAGCGCTGAAGCCAACAAAGAGACAATGTGATCTTCACTAAATTGCGAAGACAACGCTATTGAGGAATACAACCAACTGAGCTCACAGCTTAGCAGAGACACACTGACACATTCAAAATTCCCAAAATTCAAATACAAAGTCAATTTGATTCAGTAATAATAACAATTTTATTCATTTATCCTCTTCCTGATTTAACACAAAAAACATTTAACGTAATAAAAGTCATTAATTTTTCTGGTGACACATTTTATTGTATAGAATACAACTAGAACTATAGCAACAATTGTATCAATTTTACACACTAGACCATTTAAAAAATAGCTGACATTTTTATTTCCTGTATTTATAGATTTAAAAAGACCTCTTTATTTACCATAAATAGTGCTTTATAAAAAATAGTGAAAATCTGACAAAGGATAGGAACTGACAGGGAAGATGGGGGAGGGGGAAGAAACACTAAATGCAGTCTCACTTTACAAAACATTATTTTTCTCTCACTACAACAAAATCTGGAGATGAATTGCTCTAATATATAAAAAAAAACAAACAAAATACTCTCTTATCTTAGTGATGAATTGGTTCTACGAGCTAATATCTAACAAGCAGAAATCTCATTTTCTTGTGGCATTCAATAATCATCAATGGCGTTTCCCTGCAAGAAGAATTACATTGAATATGTATAGGAGTGGTTATTGGTAGCACTGGCGTGTGCCGGAGATTCACGGAATTGCGCCACATCCTATTTGGAATTTGGGTTAATGGCTGTTTACTTGAGTGTTAAATTATCCCTGTTAAGTTTATCCACGCTAATTCGGGGCGCTCCTCCCCCGTCCAGCACACTTTTTTCCATGCCCAGCATCTACGCCTCGACTGTCGTGCCTCGGTGAGAATAAAGGTGAGAATTGTTAGCCTCTTGTGCGACCGCCTGCCGTCGTCTTCAGTCCATTTGGTGTAAGTTCTCCTGATAGTCGTCGTACTCCTCCTCGGGTCCGCCCGGGTCCTCCTCCTCAGGGTCGTAGTCCGCCTCAGGGTCGGGTCCAGTGATGTCTGGGAGGTAGTCTTTGTGTGGTGGTGGTGGAACGAATGTCTCCTGATTGTGTTAATGAGGCGTTAGTACGGTCAGGTGTGTCTGGGATTAGTCACTACGGGACTTTGGGGTGTCAACAGAGCCTCTACCGCGATTCTAATGTGTGTATGTGTGGGGGTGTGTGGGATTGAGAGTACTTTGGGGAGGTTTACCTTCGGTGGGCGCCAGCCACATCCTGGCAGAGGTAGTCCATCCGTGCCCAGAGGACACGGCGCGTCTAGTCCCGGAACGCCTTGGTCGCCTTTGTCCCCTCGATCTGAAAGAGGAGTTTAGGAAGCGCAAAAGCATTTTAAAATACATTTTTATCTTCTTCATTTTGCTTGTATGGTATGAAAACCAACCCCTAATTCGTCTGTCATAAGTATTTAATGTTGGTACAGAGCCGAAAACAAATATACAACAAGAACTGGTATTTAATTTTTCCGAATTGGGATTATCATCCATTAAATTAATCCCATGTTAAATCACACCACGATCCACCCGTGTAGTCGTTAATCCTCTGATTTTTAATCCAATTCTTCGTCAATTAAATCGAACTCCCTCTCCTGATCCCTAAATTTTATTTATACTTTTTTCCCCGGTGCCTCGTCTGTGCATTAGACAAGGTATCGCATAGACGGCGAGTGTTGAGACTTAAAATAAATTGAATCAATTTGACGAGCTGCTGAAAATTAGCTTTCTCTCACCTCCTTTTCGGCCTCTCTTGCCGGATGGCCCGGGTTCCCCTTTAATGCCACGCTCCCCACGTGGTCCCTCGTGGCCCGGAATCCCGTCTGTGCCCTGTGGGGGGTGGAAGGGTATGAAAGTTGAATGCTTCATGATGTCGACAGACGATCAAATTAAAGGTGGTTTAATTGATCAATTTACCGGCAATCCCGGATCGCCTCGTTCACCTTTGGACCCCGTCTCCCCCTGGGCGCCCTGTTGGACAGAGATGGAGAGTCAATTTGTGTCTCAAAACGTGTGAAATTCAATTCCTTCAGCACTCACCTTCATGCCATCCAGACCGGGTGGACCCTTTTCCAATGTATCGCGTCAAATTTTATGTCAAGTGAGTGTGTTGATTGTGGAAAAAAGGGGGCGAAAGATGAGCATGATAGAGAATTCCAGCATCGCCAATGGGTTTCGTCGCAGGACAATTTTCAACCGAGAGTGACGACAAAAGTGTTTTGAGGAGACAACAAAAAAAAAGAGAAAGAGAGAGAGAGTGAGCGTCAGAAGGGGAGCTTCAACAAAAATGTGCATAAAAGATTGTTGTGAAAAGTTTCAATGAAACATTCTGTTGATTCTATCGTGCCTCAGCTTCAGCTTGTGCAGCTGAGGAGTGTGGGTTCTGACGCGGGAGGAACTGTTAATTAACAAACAATAACAAAACATGCAAATTAAAAAGCTTTCGGGGATAGAAAGGCGGGAGAATGGAGTGGAAGAGTGGCGACCATGGAGGCCATAATTGGGGCAATGTGCTGCAAGCATTTTTAAATTTTCCCACTATCTCTTGTCTATGTCTTTTACTCGCTCTTTGCCACCATCCTTCCATTTCACTGCATGCAAATTGAGCAAAAAATTACGGCTAAAGTCGCTGACCCAGAAGTAAGTCAAAGGGGACGTAATTTCGAGATGATACTCCGTGATGAATAACAGGCAAATTTTAATTGAAAGTTCAACAAATTTTTGCAAATTCACTTTCAAGTTTAGGGTCTTCTTATGGTGTGTATATATATAATTTTCTCGTCGCAAAAAAAAACATTGCAAAAGTTGAAGTTCTCTATCTTCATCATCATCATCATCTATTATTATGATGGAAAGGACGCAACCAAGACTATCAGCGAGATCAAAAAAAAGCGGAGAAATGGGAGGAAAATTGTTGCTTATTTATTCCTTGTTCCGTATTCTTGTCGGTGGAAATTTGCTCCATCCCCAAACGTCTCCTCTCCCAACAAATTTCACCTTCACTGTGAATATGACGGAGGGCTGTTGCGTGAGTATTTATAGTGTGAGTGAATAATTACATGTAATGCTGCGGAGGTGTACCTGTTCTGTGCCAGCAGAGGGAAGGGTGGGCCGTTCTCTGTAAAAGGCAGCAGCGGAAATTTCACACAGAACACGGAAATGTGGAGGGAAGTGTGTGCTGGGGTGGGAGGTGAAAAGTGGAATAATGAATATTGAGAACAGTGGAATTTAATAAGAAAGCGAGCTGAAATAAATTTACAATATCAAATCAATTAACCTCCCCCCCCATCATCCTGTACACTTGCAGAATCGCACCCACTCTTCGGTATCTCCGGTAACTTTTTCCTCTTTCGGAGCCACTCTCATCGTCCCTTGGGAAGGGGGTGAAAGGGGGAGTACACCAGACGGGGAAAGGTGGAAAATTAATGGAAGGCGGAAATTAAGAGTGGAAATGTGTTTAATAATTTAGTTAAATGCAAAATATTGTCATAAATTGAAAGAGCAAACATTACTTTCCCTTTATTTTTCATCTTAATGACATGCATTTTGATTTACTTCTCATTTTTCTCCATCATTATTCATTCCATTTTGCAATTCCATCGGGGCATTAAATTATCTTTGTCAAACACTGTATTTACTGAAATCACTGAAGATTGCGTCCACTTCATTGTCACCTTGAATTGTAAATATCTTATATTTCTTACAAAGTAAATAATTTCTCAACATTCCTTATCATTTTTTTTCCACTCTTATCCATCTTTGCATAATATTATTGTAATTGTTCATCAATCGCCTTTACTGCTCATCACCTTGTCTTTTGTTCTCTTATAAAGTGTAGCACAAAGATCATGTTCAGATAGAAATGACATTAATAAGTTCGAATGGGAGAGTATAGTTTACGATATAAAATGCAAAAGATAGGCATAAAAATATATTGTTGTTGTTAGAGATTACAAATAGAGGGAAAGTGAGAGAGATGTTGTGAAAGTTGCTCAATTATATTTGAATATTGATTAGATTCCACATATGATGTCAAATGCAATATTAAGATCATGTACAAGCACTATATGAAATTATTTTAGCAAATTCCATTGTCATGAAATATGCAAAATTATATTACCACTCTTATTTGGGTATTAACGAATATATTTAGGTCATATTAGTTGCCTTTTAATGAACATAATGTGAATATTTCATGTTTCGTTGAAAATTTTATTGACCGATTCCTCCCCCCCCCCAATACAATGAACTATTGGTGCTGCGTTATTGCTTTGCAATGTTAATAGTTTGTTCAGTTTTGGACATGGGAAATAATCTAGAATCCACAAATTTAAACCGTAACATCGTTAACACCCAGAATAATGCTTGTTTAGCTGTATTAATGATAGGAAATGTGTATTTTATGATTAATAATTTAATTTGCTTATAACATATAGAATAAATTTAAACTGTATACTATTTACTCAGCAAACTGCCTTTTTTTGATTATTGAATGTGGAAGAATAAAGAGGATATGGATTCAGTATGCGATCATGGGAAATGCAAAAATGCTCATTAGTTTGTTATACCTTCTGGCACAAATGTTGCATTTTGGGCGGCACGTGCTTCTCGAGCAACTTTCCAGATCAAATTTGCATTAAATGTAGATTTTTTCACATATGTATTTTTTTATATTTAAATCACATATGAAATGCACGTCGCCATCCATAAGCAAAGATTCTCAAGTGCTCTGACTTTGTCTGGTTTCAATATTTTGCAAATTTCTTTTGAAAGACACTGAACTGATTATAAGTTATTGATTCTTCATGGGGAATTTCCAGGCACAAAGTCATGCGATTCTTGAGAATTCCTACTCTAGAGTGGCGTTATGAGGAAAAAGATTCGCCATCTCACTTCTGATATTATTAATGTGTAGTTGTCATATGATATTGTTACATTATCAGTACGTAATTCTATGTGATATCCCCACAGTTGTCGGTGGCATGGGAATGTGATAGCGAGATTGAGAGGATGAGAGAGATAGAGGGAGAAGGTGTGAGAATTGATGGGGATTTGTTGTGGGAGGACAAACATTGGGAAATGAAATATAAATATTTGATTAATTTCTGGCCCATATATCTACACTTATGCTAGTAATGTCTATTTAAAATTACATTATGTACATCATTATTTTGGTATATTTGCACTTCATCGTACATAATTGAATTATATCTGCCACTGAATTTTTTATCGTCACTGTGTTATGCATCAAAATACTGCAGTAGAATGATAAAGATTCCTCTTTTAAATAGGCGAAATACCACCGAAAAATATACATTTCGTCATAGAGAAAATATTTATGATAATGAGGCAGAAATAATTCTATGAATTCCATAGTTGGCCGTTCGGTCAGTGTTTCGTTCAAATAATTAAATGCATGTGCGTGTAAAAAGTATTTATTAATTAAAAAGCCACATGGAAAAGCTCATTAAAGGTACTAATTGAAATTCATGAAAGAATTACTTGGAAATTAATGCAATTTATTATTTTAATGACTTTTATTTGATGAAAGTATTTTTTTTATTTGGGTTGTTATAGATTTTACGTCAAAAATATTGGAAACATTTAAGAGATTTTATTATAAGTGCAAAGAGGAGAGTAAATCAGTAAAAACATGTTCACAATACCATAATTTAGTACTTTTCTATATTCAGAATGCAAATGAAGTATCGAATAATAAATGTGAAATCATCCTAATCTGTAAAATTTATCTATGAAAAACTTTTATTTACACCTCTCTTCATTTGAGCAACTGAGTGAGCAATTTTCAGGCGTGTTAATTAATCGAGACTCTCCACTATAATTTACAAATTACATTCCTGTTGACACATTTTAAAACTCACACACATAAATAGTATGTAATTTGTTTTTTTTTTTCACCACCAATTTTCATTCACGAATGCCGTCAGTGGATGAATGTCTAAAAGAGGCACTCCACGTAACAATGCTGAAACAGTTTCGACTGCCTTTTTGTCCTGTCCCACAGCGTAAAATGTTAATTTTGTATAAAAAATTGTTTTGTATTAATTAATACAATTTCAGACACTTTACATCCATGTTATGTTCAAAATTTAAAATTTTAAATCCGTAATTTACTATCCAAAAATATTCTTATTACAATTCTGTGTTTTATTATTTATTTTCATACAGATATGCTTTATTTAATTAGTTTTTATACCACCTTGTTATTCGTTTTAAATGCAAATTTTTGTCCTCTCTCTATACACTTTCCGTTAAAATTTATTTGTCGCTCCCTAGTGTTTTTTTTTTCAACATTGACTTCAATATAATTTATGATACCTTTCATCCCCCCATATTTCTTGTGGGCAAAATACAACAATTCTTTGATTACGAATATTATCTTAATTAGAGTACCTTTGTCTTCCTCTTCTCATCTTGTCTATCCTGTCATCTCATCTCACTATAGTTAACGGACGAATATCTGGGAATTGCTGTTGGTTATCATGTACATTTTGTTACCTTCGCGGTCCTAATCTCCAATGACTTAATCTTACAGCTTTTTACAATGTCTCTAATCCTCGTGAATAAATAAACCTTAATGTGATGTACAGTAATTTAAATGATAACTCCCTTCCTGGGTGATTATCGACATGTACCCTCGTCGACTCCACGTCAGTATTTTATTTACTTTATTAGTCATAATTCCACACCTATAAGATTAGTTGAGGGTTAATGAGCAATTTCTGTATTATGTAAGCTGTAAATCGGGCTTAAGGGTTTCGCAATGTGGGAGAATGAGGGTGTGAATTGGTTCGTCTTACCGTTTGGCCGGGTCTACCCACGGGGCCTATGGGGCCGGAATCCCCTCGGAAGCCCATTGGGCCTGGCAGTCCCATGGGTCCGGAATCGCCCTTGTGGCCCTTCTCGCCTCGGTCGCCCTTCCTGCCGTCCAGGCCTCGCTCACCCTGTGGACCAACTCGGCCGGGAACTCCTGCAGGTCCCGGCGGACCAGCGGGTCCGATAATCTGCGGGGAGGGAATATAGTGTTACTTAATTTTCCCTAAGAGATGTCAGACTTGCAAGTTGTAGTGTACACACCTCGAGAGTTTTCACTCTCCCACTTAAATTATATAACACTCTGTTTGGAATATCGCAACCCCGACGAGGTCGAGGATGTGAAATGAGAAGAATGAGAGGCATCAAGACCAAAAGCCCTAACAACCGCTAGAGCAAGTTGTAGAAACTCTTGTTTCATCTTATTTGCTTTGCGAAACTGCATTTCTCTCATACTTTCACTGCCACACCGCCCACCAGCCGCCAATGGTGTGGGACTGAGGGAAGACTGGAGGAAGTTTCTCTCTACTTGCTCTTTTTCCCTTCGCCTCCGCACAATCCCAATGTGCTGTGTAGCTGGGAAACATACGGCAATACATGGGAAAGTTTCAAAATTTTACTCACACCCCAAATGCCCCATCCTCGGGGCACCTCATTGAATAATGTCTATTTTAATTGTGTATAAGGAGGAAGATGAGAATTATAATGCGAGATGCCTTTTAAAATCTACCCACTAACCTCACTCGCATAGTAAAAGTCCTTGTTCGAAAAGACTCGAGGCAAGGAATTGGTAATTGAAACACTGCTGAAACTCACATATTCTATTGGGGTGTGCGGCGCGTCTGCCATTCCATCGTCCTGACGACGTCTCATCTTCCGATACTGCATGAAAAGATAAGCAAAGTCGAAGGTGGGTGAATTTGCATAATTGCGTAATAGAGTTCCGGCACTTACGGAGTCTCCGCGATCCCCCTTGTCGCCTTTAGAGCCTGGATAGCCGGGAGGCCCGGGCAGGCCAGGCGGTCCCATGAGGCCTGGTGGGCCAATATCACCTCGGTCGCCCTTCTCGCCTGGTGGACCTTGGTAGCCGGGAAGACCGGGCGGTCCCTCGATTCCTGGCTCACCTGGTAAACCGTCTAGACCTCGAGGACCCAAAGATCCGGGCTCACCTTGGAACGAAACAAGAAGATAATTGATGGGAAAATTTCATTATGCAAACTTTAAATAAAGCAGAAGAAATTTTAATTATTGTATACTTTTAGTTAATAGAACACCTTATTGCCTCACCATGGCAACTATGTATTCTATTGTTGGTATGAAATGAGTAAAATTTACCAAGTTTTCAATGGTAGAAAGAAACAACAATTTCATTTCACATAAAATGCAAATGAATCTTAATCTCTTCTTTGCATTTCCTGCACAACTTTCACGAGTGGAAATGCTTAATTTTATTAATAGGGATACATAACTTCGCGGTGTGTAAAATGTGTTGCGACTCACCGGGTTCTCCTGCATCACCCTTCAGACCATGTTCCCCATCCTTTCCGGGTGTTCCTGGATCTCCTGGCGGACCGGGCGGTCCTCTGACTACAGTCGTATCATCGTAGTCTGAATCGTCTTTGAATGGACCCAACTGCATCACAATTTATCAGTGATGCCCGAAAGGTCGCGGTGACAAAAGGATTTAATTAATACTTCAATTTTCCTTGTTGCGATATCATATTTAGGGTGATTATTTAGATAAAAAAAATTCATACAAAATTGAGCGCTATTTATACACTTTCACAACTTTATTGCAACAGAAATAAAATATCGTGAACAAATCATAATATGTTAATAATAATTGCAAATACTTACATTAAAAAAGCTTATTTCGACAGTTTTTATTTGCATTTCTACGTGTTGGTGGGGGTGTACTGTGTTTGCAATTGTGTATTGAACTCACAGAAGCTTTTAAGGCTTTTTTTCACAATATCTACAATTTGCTGTGTACCTACTTGGCTGTGTCATAAATTCTGCAAAACATGTTTTTCTTGATGGTTTTGCAATTAGATCTAAAAGTTTTACAATTTGTGACACTTGTTCACATTTACAACGGTTGAAGTTTTATTCATCAAGTTACTCAATCAACTATTATTTGAATATTTTATTGCAAAACTTTTGGCACTGCCACAAATGGAAGCGAAATTAAATAACATACAAGAAAACCAGTTAATTCATTGCTACATTACTAAATAATTTGTGTTGATTTTGCACAACAACAAAAAAAAAATCTCTGGATAAGCTCGTAAAATTTACACTCGCTTATTGTGTGTGGGTGGTTTTTCACTTGTCCCATATTTTTTGTCAATTGTGTACGGTGCAGTTTTCAGTGGAACATAAAACATGATGCTCCATCCCTCTTGTGTTGTTTTTCATGGAGGAAATTGACTTGCTGGAGGAAATTTTCGTCGAATTTTCCGCTTCTGAATAATTAACATATTTTTCGCCCTCTTGAATAAAGCATTTCAGCTGGAAATTTCATTTCATCACATTTTAGTAATTTTCCAGAGGAAAATCCACGAGGAGCAAGAGTGAGAGAGAGGATGTAAAAAGGAGTTTTGTGAATGGTGTTGGAAATGAAAAGAAAATATCAACGATAATGACAAGTTTTCTCGCACATTGAAGTTTTTCTCAGGAAAAATAAATTGATTGTACAGTGGAAGTAATTTTCAATTGAGCGACTTTCACCATAATTTTCACTCCTGCTACGCCATAGAATGAGTATTATGTGGTTGAAGAGTGAAATTCTCGGGAAATCATGAGGTTGAGATTTTCCATTTAATTTTTCAAGAGATGGATGGATGAGAGAGGGCATCAGAAATAGTGTAAAAGGCGGAGAGCATTAGTACAGGAGAGTTCTTGAAAGTGTTGAATTGTGGGTGATTTTGTGCAACAAGTCGATTAAAATGCTATTCTTCCGAGGTCTATGGCATCCACTGTAAACAATACCATCACCACCCAATTGCAGTATCATTCACACATGGAAATCCATCCCTATATGCAAATGCGTGCACGAGGAAAGCCCCAAAGCCCCCATTCGAGGATGCATTATGTTGAAACTTTGCCATTTGATGTGGGCTTGAGTGCAATGTGTGAAGACTTGGAATTAGCATGCAAATTATATTATGACAAATAAGTGCATCTGAATCACGACATGTAAATTAACAATTCATAATCGTAAACGAAGCAAAACATCCTAAATAATGTTGTGTGTTTGTGCACAATGACGTTAGTGCTTTAGGAGACGCAAAAGGGAAACGATATGCAGGAGATTTGTCAAAGTATACACATGGTGGATGGAATTAAATTTGTAAAATCTCTACCCGCTTTCCGCGCTTTCCACGGGGTCCCTTTTCACCTTGTGGACCAGCCGGTCCCGAGGGTCCCACTTCGCCACGCTCACCAGGCGGTCCCTGTGGTCCTGTGGGTGGTAACATTGGAATTATTTTTCGTGTGAATCCACGCAAAGTTAATGCGGAGAGCAGAAGAGGGAGCTCAAAAAGTCACGGAACATCGAGACCAAATTAAATGCCGGAAGCTCACTTAGAGAAAGGAATTATATTGCTAGCTTTTCGCCTCTGAACTTTGTCTTTAATCCGTCTTATATTGTTGATTATCTAATGTGTTAAATTTGCAAATTGTAATTAAAGCTTGCAGCAAAAGATATATTGCAAACTTTTTGTCGATTTCTTCAAACACGTTATTCAAATCAGACGGTTTTGGGTCAATAAGAAATCACAACTGGAACAGAGTCCTTTTGTGCGAATGTAATTCAAAACGTAAATACATTTGCCTGTCAGTTCATGCACTTTATTTGCATGTATGGTTTGAATTTGACGCTCTGTTCCGAGTCTCTTTGTACTCCATTTCAACAATTTACCTGGTGGTCCTGGCGGACCAGGTGGGCCTTCGATGATACCCGTTGGAAATTGATCACTTTTCAGCGTTGTCGTTAGTCCCCGGTCGCCTTTGTCACCCCTATCGCCCTGTTTCAGCATTATTTTGATACAACAAAAATGATTTAGAGAGAGCACGTCTAAATGGTATTATGTAGCATAATTCAATACGGGGGAGGGAGTGACTCTATGATTTTGTATAGAATATCAGATACACGATAGCCTCGTGTTTGATCCAATATCAAATAATAAATTCCATTGATATATGATGAGGAAGCTGGCTGAAGGGTGGGAGTGTCATAAACACTCAACCCTCGCCATTTTAACTTGAATTGCCAATTAACAATTGATCTTTTCTCTCGCGCAATTAAATCCCTCGTCATTCTAAATCATTGAGGAGGAGTCACTTGAGAGGGTTTTCTGCTCGCCTGAGTTTAATATTTCAATAAAATCAGTGTCATTTGTCGTTGGAGACAGTGGTAAAGTTTCCAACGCCGTCAGATAAGAACAGTTCAAGAAACTTCATATGTCTTGCGTGACAGAGCACCCTCAGGGTGTGCTCTTGAGTCCTCAAGTGCAAATGATAAAATTTTTGATAAATCCCTCAAACGAACGAAATTTGGGGGTGGTGAAATAGCTCTCATTCTCGCCATGCGATGCTTAATCTCGGGAGGCTTGCTTGATTCACTGGTGAATCTTTTGTAGTCTTCGAATGACTGGAAGGTATTATAATATCTCATGAGGAGCAAAGAAATAACAATATTAATCACCATTTTAAACAATATACTCAAGTGTATTCAGAGCAGAAATTCAAGAATACTTACTGTGCAATGGGAAGTGAAATGATAGCTTTTGAGGGGGTCGTGAAAAGTATTGTGGATGCCTTTTGAGGCGCATTATTCAATTCACAGTCGAATGAATTAATTCCCATTTTCATGAGATGTTTTATTGGGGCCTCCCTCATGACTGTGTCATAAAAATTCCGGAGGGAAATTAAAGGAAAACAATTAAATAACTCAATGTTGTTCTTCTCGAGGGTTTGTGGGGTCTGTGAATTGACTCTGTTCAAAGCCCCGATAAGGTTGAGGATTACTGAGGGTTTGGCTGGTGAAGGTTGTTTGTTGTGCACCACTCAGAGCTCTTAAATACATGTGTCATTCGGTATTTATTATTATTATTATTAATATTGCTCCCACGTCACCCAATTGCCAGGGTGCTTTCGCTCGGGAAATTGGGGAGCTGATATGGGTGTTTTGGTAATAGTGTGATAGGTGAGATGGAAGGGGCACAAATTTGATGTTCTGTGATGCTCAATATCACAGACATTTCGCCCTCAATACAGTTTGCTCTGTGCTCACAATTACCTCAACACAATAACTATTGGTTCTGCATTTGCCATTGTGTGAGATGATTGTGTGCGAAAGTTACCTGCGGGTCAATCCGAAACCACCTTCTAAATTTGTTTTCTCAATCAAAACCATACATTTACCCAACTTCAACGGACAATTCGATACTCAACGTGAATATTAATGGGAATTCATGCTCATGGTGGAGATGAAATTGTAAAATTACAGCACCATAGAGCACGTCCAAAATGTTAATGTATTCCAGGATATTGTTCTGTCAATAGACTCATTGAATTTTATATGGATCCCCTGTTGAAATCATGATACATTTGTCTTGTGCTCAAATATTTGAAAGAGACAAACACCTAACAAAAGGCGAGGGTGTAACATTTCCATTGGCTTTCAACGTTCAAATATAGGCAGGAAGGGGAAGAATTTGTCGATAATTGCATTTATTGGCTCGCATAAATAATCAAATATTGATTGTAGTGAGCACAAACATTGCGCTTAAGCTGCGTGCACATTGATAAATTAAATAAATGCGACTTTGTGCCATTTAGCCATTACATGGGACATGGTTGTACTCTATGTGCGCTTCACTAGCATATTTCAAACTCAAACCCACTTTCTGTGTGCCCTCCAATGACACAATTTGCACAATCATATTAAACATCAAATAGATTTTTTTTCATCCAGCACCATGTTGAGTAAATAATCCAAGAAAATCGTGCGTTCCGAGCCGAGTTGAAAGAACTGTAGTTTTGAGATATTTCTTTTCTTTTCGACTGCGTGGAAAGAGAGATGTACATACTTGATTCTTTTTTTCTGAAAGCTCAGCTAATCATTGAGGGAATAAATAAACCATCAAGTTAAGTTTATGATTCTACATAATTTATACCAGTTTTTGAGAGTTTGAATCAACTTTGTCGCCTTCGCGAAGTACACGGTCGATATTCGGTACTTTATTGCATAAATTCGTGTCCGTGCCAGAGAGATAGAGGCGAGAAGGAGAGCTGGCGGGTGTAAAGGGGATTTTTTCACTTCATCCTCATAATCATTCGTGCCCGTAAAACGTAATGGCAGGAAAAATTTCTGGCAGTAATTGGATTTAAAACTCATTTCGGAGGCACGACTGAGCGACCATGGAATTGTCAAATGGCGAGGAAGTGTGTGGGGAAGAGTACCTTCGGTCCGGGCAGTCCTGCTGTGCCATTGTGTCCTATGGGACCCGTCTCGCCCGGCTCTCCTGGCGGCCCGGGTGGGCCAGGTTCCCCAGGCTGACCTGCTTTGCCATCGTATCCGGGAATACCTGATGATCCAGTCGGCCCGGGAGGTCCAGGTGGACCCGGTTCACCAGGCTCTCCCTGTGCAAAGACGGGAATCAGTACAGTTTTCATAAGTGCACCCGATAAATGCATTGAAATTCACTACAGCGTGCGAGGAAATACCAAATTTCTACACATGCATTAGTCTTTTGTTGCAAATTGGATGATGATTCTCTCTGTGAGTATGTCAAATACTGCAGCACTTCGTGTGTCTCTTGGAGAATATGGTTGTTTCTGATTTAACCTATGGATTCAGTGGAGCTTAAGTGAATTTCTCTTGTCATCAGAAGTCCTAAACTTCCTGAATACAGCACCCCTTGAGACTCTGCAGTCCAGTAAGAGGTGCATTGAGAAAATTGCTCTGTTTACCATCATTTGAAATTGCGCTTTGTATTGTTAGATGCAGACAGTGAATGTTAGTGGGATGATAAATGGAGAGAATCTTCATGAGGCGACTAAAGCAAAAACTACTCACTTTAAGTTGAATTACAGTTGCTGCAGAAATATTGTGTCCTGCCTCTTGTAATCCCTTTTATATATATGTTTGTGTATTGTTTGGGGTGATATATTTGGTGAGAGACGAAATTGTGTGTTTTTTTTTGTTTGTGTATAATACAGCATTCGTGGGGAAGAAAATGCGAAGGCGGACGACACACAATAAAGAGACACAGCAAATAGCACCAGAAAAAAGAATATGAAAAATCATAAAAAATACATCTTTTGCTCCTCCAACTCTCTACTTCTACTAAAAATAATATAATCCACTCTCTTTCTCTCTCTCTTTCTACTAAAATACTATGTTCTACACGGGGAAATGCAGAATTTTCAGAAGAGGAAATTCTCCATGACGAAATAAAGCGCACATTTATGGCAGATAAGAGGTTTAGTTGAGGGGTTAACAGCACTGTAGATTTGCTTTCCTATGGCAGCATGTTCACGAGTTACTCTTATCAAATCTATGAAATAATTCAGTGCAGCAATGTTGTGGAATGAGCAAAATTTGAGAATTCAGCCCCTCAACTGTAGTTCTTAGCGTTACACATAAAATTCTACAATGGATGCGATATTTCCTTAATCAGATGTACATCTTTTTATGGGGCTGGCTCGTGAATGGAAACACTTCTAGGGGAAAATTGATAATCTCCCGTGGAAGGAAATCTGCGAGGATAATAAAATTGGATTGAAGTTGTCGTGAGTTGGAAAAAATTAAATGTTTTATTTTCACTGACACGAGTTCCGGAGAAATTGAGCAGATGCGAAAATCTTGATAAGAAATGCTTTCATTTCGCCATGGAGAATGATTAAAGCCGGTTGTATTTGTTTGATTGTGTCGTGCTGGACAGGTGATAAAATGTTAATTAAGATAGACTCCATCAGAATATCTATGATGTGTGTCTGTTCTGTTTTTGATAACACTGATGGTCACTCTCATTTATCAACTACCTGTTCTCGGTTTCCTGAAGGGGTGGCATGAGTGGAATTGACGGAGTGAGGATAGAATTATGCTGTCAGTTTGTGTTATTTTCCTCTCGAGTTGAGGCTTGCCCGAGGGCGCATTTCCTATGATATTTACTAGACAAGGTTCTGGGTATTTTTTTTTAATTCGATGACGAGCAGATATACCAGCATAAATACGGAATTGAAATACGGTACTGTGATTCAGAAGACATGCCAGAAGGAAAGAATAACATTTGTTTATGATTTTTTTTCCAGTTCTTTGATGTTACGGGAGGAAAAATTTGCTTTATTCTTTCCCGCTCCACCACCCATTCTCGAATTGTGTGTACATTTTGGTATATATGCGCGCATATAAAAAAAAATTCACCAAAGCATATGAAGCGTTTTTAATGTGATTTGGAGAAATGGAGGGGCAAAAAAAGGTTTCATCTGTGCACAGAGAAATTGAAGCTTAGATACTCCCATTTCAACGTTGTGTTCCCGCGCCAAAAAGCGAGGGGTGCGAAGAAAATTGGCAAGATCAAAATCTACCACTACAACACCAAATTAGTACATCAAACCCAAGGAGTGTTTACGTTGCCTGACTCAAATGGAACGTAAATACTCCTTGATATCAAACACTACAGATTAGGAAGAAAAAAAAAACACGTGAAATATCACCATCAGGTTCTGCTAGAAAATAATACCTTCACGGCTACGATCTCAGCATAACCGAGAGAACCACCTCGAAGTGTCGTGACGGAGCGCTTCAAGTTTAATCCCTGCAGATGGACGAGTTATTTTAATGCATGCTCTACTTCTGTCAAAGGACGTTCAGTCAAATGTAGCGATTGCAACAATCAATTCGCAATCTGACTGGAAAACCCCACGTGAGGGTTGATTTTACGACAGAGAGTCCAAATAGATGTTGGCTTCAATTTTAGTCGGGCAAAGGGAATTCGGCCAGAGTTATTGCAATGCCCTGTATGAGTTTGGGGTTTAATTAGGTGATCCAAACTGTCAGAATTTGATATCACATCATTAATGTAACATCGCAATTTACACGGGCGATTGATTGCTAGATTATTACGCACATTAAATTGGGCTCAAACTCATGTAACCGATGCACATTATGCAAATTTCATTGGAGAAAATCAACTACATGTTCCCATTTTAATTAACTTATTGAACGTTATCGTGTCGATATCAGTCGAGGGGTCAACATGGATTGCTAAATTATCGCAATTGTCATAAAACTTCATTAACATTAGACATTAATGTGTCTGCCTCGGGCTATTAATGTTCATCAGATATTTACCTTAACAGCCTGAAATACATCAATTCCTGGATTTCCGAGATCACCCTTTTGTCCCTTGTCTCCGGGTCTACCCTGTAGAAATTGGGAAAGCGTTAGTTGAAGGCAACACATTCATATATGGGAAAAATTCAAAAATCCTATTTATTTGCATGTGTGAATTTTCGCGAGCTGGAAAATCCTACTTTTGGCACTTTGGAAGTTTGATGAAAGCTCACAGGTAATCTCAAAAACCGAACATTGATAATGTCAAACTTTCTCACCACTCTCGCATTTGAGAAATATTTCTTCCGTCAATCGGTTTTAGCAATTTCAGTTTTCGGTGCGCTTGTATCGCGGCCATATCTCGCTGAGGTAGTTATTTTTATGAGAAAGGAGAAAAGTTTGAAAATCGGGTCACAAATGAAGTGTGAACGGAGTTTGAGAAACAGGGTAAGTGAGCAAAATTGCAGTGGGGGTTGTGATAAAGGAGTGGGCGGCAGGTGAGAATAATGCTACAAATTCTTTAATAATATCTGGAGATGTTCAGCAAAACATGGTGAATCAAGGCAAAGGGGGTGAGAAATGAGTATAAATTCGTGTTTGTGAGAATGTTGCTGAAAAGAACAAAAGACCATCTGCTTGATCTTTGTGTGCGCCTTGAAATACGACAATGGCTGAAGTATACTTCAGGATGAACAATTCCATCCAACGAGCATTATACAATTATGTAAATCGAGTGAACAAAGTTGCACCCATATAACATGTTGCACAGCTCTGGAGCAACAGCACCAGACCCGAAATTTTACCGCTCTCTGGCTGGCCACATTCTCACTCTCACCCTCTCTCACCCCACGAAACCAAAATGTGTCACAGCGTATTTTCGAGTTTTGCCACTTTGCGACTTTTCCCGCATGTGAGCTATTTCGGCTTCTGGAATTTTTGCGGAGAATTTTTGAGCTCTGCGTACTTAAAAGTTTTATCGATTCGACAACAGTGGCAATCTTTAAAGTTCCCAAAACTGATGTGAACTGAATTTTCCATTTTCTATTAACAGAATATCAAGGCTACTGTAGCGCATTTCAAGTGAGACACTTACCGGCTCTCCTTTGGGTCCATCTAATCCTATGGGGCCCTGAAAACACGGCGAGAGAACCTTTAATTTCTTTTCATAAAATGCAAATTAGTGGATTAAACAGTTGTGAGTGGTTGAAAGTGTATGATTAAGAGCATTCCAGGGAAAGATGACTATACATGTAAATGTACTTTTTGCTGGTCTACACAATACATTAGAAGGTTGAGTTGTTGAAAAAAAAAGATCGCCTTGAAAATTAAGAAGCAATAAAGAAAGGAAGCACAAAGTATGCATAAAATTAGTCTAGAGTGGCCCGGTGAAAAGTTTCTAATCGAAAATTAATAATACAATTTTCACTTAACCCACGCTAGAGAGTCCTTTCTCTCCTCTTTGCCTCTATCGCAGATGTTGGCAACGAGAATTTCCTTGGCATGATAATGGGATTCTTATCCCCCCGGAGATGAGGACAAAAAGGATACAGTGGGTGAATCAATGGGGTTGCTGATCCGTAGAGAAGAGAATATGCTTTCAGAAATCAATCGGATTAATTGAGCTCCTTCGTGGGGGTGTGACATTAAAATGCGGAAATTCAATTTGGACGACCAAACAGACGCTACACAAAGCCCCCAATTGAAAATCATCAACATTTTCCATTGCGAGAGCCCATCGCCTGAGCGACAACGAGACGATTGCCTATTAATTCAAATTAGCATGAAATAAATAATTCCATTTCGGGGATCGATGTTGGCTGATGAGCACCCATTTATCACTCGTCACCGCGTTTCAGGGGATGCGAGCGAATTCTCCGCAAATGGATCTGAGAAGGGATACTGTGTGTGTGTGTTTCTATTTCGAAAATAGAATTACCCGTCTGACAGATGCGGAAGACGCTTCCGGGACCCGGAGAGAGACATCAATAAAGTCGAGGGCGGGAAATGCTCCTCGATTAGCCCGATTTTCCTCCGCCTCAAATTGGAAAATGATTTACAAATTCGGCACAATCAAATGTACCGGATATTCAATTTGGCGGTAAAATGTGATTTTATTGAATTTTTCCTTCAATTTCCTCCCCATTGAGGTTTTGCGTTCCTGGGCGCTTTTTACTTCATTTCCTCCCAAGACACTTCATCCGATTGATTGTTTCTGGATCCACACCCTTTGCTGTGCTACGTAAATTATCACACAGAATCGCTCAATCTTCATTTTCCAACAGATTCACTGATGTGCCAACCTCTTAAAAGTAATGATACGCCCATTTATTTTAGTAACACCACAACCTAGAATGTTAGTGAATTTACACAACAATCTACGGTGCGGATTCTAAACCAATTCCACTAGGGTTGTGGTCTTACCATGATTCCCTTTTGGCCTCTATCGCCCTTTTTTCGGTAATCGGAAAGTATATGTATTTGGATATATGGTTTCAAGATTTAATACATGATAGACGGGCATGAGTTTGGTGCGAGGATGAATGAAAAGACAAGAAAACAGAACAAATGGTGTAAAATAATAATAATGTATAATGAAATAAATGCATTGTGCAATGCAAATAAAGGGGAAAATATACCGGAAAGCCATTCTTTCCCGGAGGACCTGCTGGACCCTGAAACATAAATAACATAAAGTCAGAAATAAAGCCAGAAAATAAATCAGATGAAAAAACTAATTAGGGACATTTTTGCTGTTGTCAAACACGGATGGATATTAAATAACATTTTTGTGTTTATCAGCCATGTCAAAATTGTCAAATGAAATACACACTGCTCAGTTTGGCAATACTTACAGCTGGTCCCATTTCACCGGGGTCGCCTTTTTTGCCCTTTTTCCCGCGCTTGCCTGGCGGTCCTGGTGGGCCTGGAAATAAACAAGGGAAATCAGTGGATATTTTTTGGGATAAAAGCCATACAAAATGTTTTCCGCATAATTATATGACTCTATTGGCGATATTTTTCAATTGATTGTGCATAACACATTTTTAAATTGCAAATTGATATTACTTTTTGCAATTTGATAACATGCTGGGCCGAGGCTGTGCCACACATGACCCGGGTGCACATTGGGGTGGGAGTGAGAAATTAAATTCGATATAATAAATGTGCCAAATGTTGGACATTGCTAGATGGTATTTATTGGGATGAATGTACAAGTGAGAGCGAAGTGTTCCGGCTCGGATGTACAATAAACAATTGTAGGTTAGTGGCAACGTCTGTTCTCTATGATGCCCTTTCGCCCGTTGTTCTTTTAATTTATTTTTGCCCGCCACCCACACCCAGGCCGAGGGGGTGGTGGGCAATAAAAAGGAAAATATCCCAAAAGTGTCCCAGAACATTCGACACGGTCATAAATTCTGCAGCAACGGTGGCAGAAAAAAAGAGTGAAATTTATTGGGAAATTGATCAGTTAATGTATTACGTGCCCTTCCCTCGTACTTTAGCCCCTGGAAATCACAGACGCAGGGGATTGCCGGGGCAATTGTGCACTGAGAGAAAAGATCAATTTTTCTCTCGGTGCGGTGGTGTTTTGACATGCTTGAAAATGATAGGAGTGTCGTAATCGTAAATCTATCCTCAACCACACCATTCCCCAAACAACTTATGCATACAAAATTATATTCGCGAAAACGATTAATGGTTTGGCACTCAGCCACTTTATATCCCCATGTTGATGGTATAATATAAATGATGTGAGTGGAGAGCTATTTTCGGAGTCTTTCTCCAAACCCCCAACGAGCGTCCTCCTTTGTCTTCGCGCAATCCGCTGAGGATGACAGCGATTTGGGATGCTACACAATTTCACACACTTTCAGTCGAAACATGCAAATTACCCCAGACTTCATTGGAACCATCATAAATGCAGAGTAATCCTCTTCTCACGGAGGAGTGAAAAATAGTGGCAAAGATAATACGTCGCAAGACATCTTGTTCTTCTTTCGGCAAATTCTTGTTTCTACGAAAGGCGAGGATTTCACTGAAAACAAATCTGCTCTATTAATAAATTCGCTACAAGAGCGCATGCATTGGAGAGAACTCTATCACGGCATCGATGGGAAGAGATGCTGCAAGATATTTGCCAAAACTTGTACTCATAGTGATAATAATTTAGAGATGTTTTGAAATTGTGATACAATGAAATTTAAATATGGGTAGATATGTATAATTCAGAGGCAAATAAATAACTTCTAAAACCATGTCACAAATTTATCAAATATCACATTTAAATAAAACCTCGCATTTTATTGTCAAGAATATTTATCTCGTGCTTAACTTTGAGTTATAGCAAGCAAATTGCAACACTGTTATGGCTTTTATATTCATCTCGGTTTATTTCTTCAGTGATGTTATCGATATTGTATGAAAACACAGCATATGAATATACAGGGAACGAAAGAAATTGAATGCGAAGCAATTTAATTGAATAAGTGAAAGTTTTCGGATGTCATTTATTATTAATTCTGCAAATCTACCCTCAAAATCCCCAAATGACAAAAATAATTTCGATGAAACACTTGATGTCGCGATATTATTTATTAGTCAACAGCTGAATGTGATATTTTTATTTGGAAAATTGGTCATTTAATTGAGGGAAACACTATGTTGAGCAATAAAATTGTCCATGTTTCTCCTCATGTTGTAGCTCATTTTTTCCGGCACTCATGAACTCATGTCATAAATAACGAGGGGATGATTTATCGCCGTGACTCCCTTCACCTGATCACATATGAGATGTCATGTTTGATGCTAAAATATTAAATTTAAATGAGCTCCTAAATCAATTAATCATGCGCACTGATTCACTGCAGTTTCGAATTAATCAATTATAGGGTCAGAGCACTACAGCGGGGGTTAATTTGATTTACCGGTCATTTATCTCCTCAAGTGTGTTGAGACCTTGCGTGAGCGCAAAAAGCATTCCTCGAAATGTCTTAGACGGAATGCATTATTTTTATTAATGCGAAACACCATTACCGGGAAAATTAATTGCGACGAGAGGGCTTCTTCGTGGTGGGGAAAAAAATCAGAACAAATGGTGGGTGGGATGGAGGCTAAAAACCATCATCCTTTTTTGCCTCTGTCTCGTGGTCTCTAAGAAATGAGATGGGCGGTTACTTCGCTGCAGGATTGAGTACAAATGAGTTTTGACTCACACTCCAGCGGTATGTTATCTGTGCCGGAGAAAAACGTTCATACTTTTCCCTCTCTCAATAAAACATTAAAAATTCTACTTAATGGCATTTATGACAGAGACGAATGGGAATTTTCTGTTTTTATTAGATCTCTTCACACCCTAAAACGGCGATGCTGCATCGCGCGCCTGAGAATATCACGCTATCCCGAGACTTAAAGGTGTTGAATTGAATTCTCAGTTGGCGGATGCCTCTCAATGGAGTGCAATCAAAGAGATATTTCACCGAGTTGTACCATTTGCTATCTGATGCAGTCTGTTTTAATTATTATTTAATTAAGGTGTGTATCCTTCATTGCGCTCCTCGTCTAACATTTATTTAATTACACGGAACAGTGGTCGTAATAAAAAACAGGAGACATGGGGGTAATTTATATTGAGTCTGGCCATTTTATCCCCTCCAGCGTCGTCAAGAAAACTCTGCTATTTACCCTTTCGGGGATGGGAAACCGGGCGCGATGTGGGAAGAGTCCCGATGCTGGAAACTTAAGGTCTCGCCATAGTGCACTCCATTGTAATTTAGCTGCAGTAATCAACATAAATTCAGCATTAGCGTTTGCCATGTCTTCTATTATGATACTTAAAATATTTCACTGTAGCCCAAAGAAAGTCTCGACATTCTATTCTGCCTTTTGTATTAGGGATTTTATGGCAATTTAAAGCGCATTTGCTAATATCAGTGGAAAATCTGCCTATTATGTTCGCTTTTTATTATAATTCTCGCTCTGTTTGTGTTTAATTGTATTCAGCAAAAATCTCCAAGGAGATATTTTATCTAAATCCTATTTAGTTAGCAAACATTAATCCTACCCATTGCACATGGAATGATCTCAAGCTTTAATAACAGCTCCTGTCTAATGGGCGAAACTTTTAGGAATTTCCGCAACAGAAATTCCTACCAGGAAGCATTTGAAAGCTCCCAAACTCTCATTGCTCAGCCCTCAATGTAATGCATAATGAGCGAAACTTATTTAGTGGTTATTGTGGAGGGAAAGTCTTGCAGTGGAAACAATGTTGCAAATGGGACAATTGTGGAACGTTCGCCTTTTGTTAAATTAGCATTTTTCACATTAATCACCCTAATCGCATTTTATCAGAAATTTCTCTATTCCTCTCTCTTTTCTCCCTTGTTTAATAATCTTATTCTGGTGAATGTCGATGTCTTTCGAGTAGCAAAGTTTCCGCACAACTGTTTATCTCTCGATAAAGATGAGAAAAGAGGGTGGAAAAAAAATCTTAATGTGATTTTTTAAGAGGATAGAAGTGACTGGAAAAAAGCTCAAATAACTTCTTTTGTCTGTGGCACTTGAGATGTGAAGAATGTGCCGCGTGATTGTTGGCTGGAAGAACTTCTTGGGGAGCGGATATAGAAAATTTTCCTGGGGAGGGATATATTTAGTGAGAATATGGAAATATCTCTTTGTTAGTGCAAAGAATCGAATAGATGAGGGGAAAAAATCACTTAATAGTAGAGAGCACTTTATGGATTTTATAAATGGTGAATTTTCTCGAGATGCTTCACAGCGTTCGAAGGTTCTTTTTTGTCATCACTCACCATTTCAGAGCGCTTTTCCGTCGTCAGACGACGACGAAGGTAAGATCAAAGAAGGTCTGAGATAATGTAAGATAAACACAAGATGAGGTGCATTTTGTGATAAATTTATTAATAATTCCATACATATTAGAAAGCACTCTGTCAAGGGTTCAATTTTGGCGGATTGTTGCTAACAAGATGAGAAACATTGGGATGTACAATGCACTGAAGTGGGTGTGAATTTAATTTATAATGCTGCAGAAGAGGAGAAAGATAATTGCTTAGACAGATTGTGAGGCTCGTACAAAAGAGTGTATATATTTACCCGTCCAAAATATCCTGTGTACCCACTCAACTCCTAAGCAAACACTCAGTTCATCCCCTTCGTTCCTCTTGTCCGCGGGGGGTGAAAGCTCAGGCATTCTGTAGTGCAATAAATTATGTAAGACATTGACTTTGTGCACTCAATGTGCTACATTTATTCATCTTGAGCGCCACCCAATGGTTTCTCAATTGCACTTGAATGTTTGAACTCTCATGCCAACCCCAGATACGTTGGAGGTTGTGAAAAGCTCCACTCTGGGTTATAAGCGCAGTCTGCATATAAATGCATGCTCTCTGCACTTCTTCCCATACACATTTTGCATTAATATTGAAGTGAAAACGGTTGAGGTGGCATAGCGAAAAGTCACACACTTGAGCATGAATTCACGACCTCAAAATAAGCTTTCATGTTCCATGATTGGAGGGTCTTTTGATGAGGCAACAGTGAAATTGCTATATGCATCCTAATCGGTACTTTGATAATAACAGCCGATAATTAAATATTGTGCATGGAATTCATGAATTTCCAAGGAAAACACAATTAAATCCACGAATCACATGATTTGCTAATCGATTTTACATGGCATTGATGCAATAAGCATCCAGATTGCTTGAATGTAGGCCAAGTTATCCTCGCTATATGCATTAATAATATTTCTGGGTCAATTGGACTGAAGAGGACAAAAATCCTGACGCCATATATTCTCCCAAGACAATCTGCACTGTGATTTGCCATCCGATTTATTTATTGCCACCTTTCATCCAAATTCGTCCTGTGGATCCTGCAAGATGACACCAAATTCAATATTTGCCA